GGAAGCACTGAAATTGTCTAACACTGACTGACTGAGTTTAGTTTTACGCCGCTTTTAGCAAGATTCCAGCAATATCACGGCGGGGGACACCAGAAATGGGCTTCACTCATTGTGCCCATGTGGGGATTCGAACCCGGGTCTTCGGCGTGACGAGCCAACGCTTTAACCACTAGACTACCCCACCGCCCCGAAATTGTCTAACAGGTCAATGAAAAGTAATGTACAAGACCATTGTAGTTCACAAGAGTAAGAAAAAGCCCACAGTGAATTTGAATATCTCATTTCAATTTCACCTAAGGAGAGGTATCAAGGTAAAACTGTCAATAGGCGCATGGCCGAGAGTTGCTATAATAAGAACAGTTTCTCACATGTAAGGATTATCCATCCTTCACAGGCTATGCTTCATTACATTTAGAGTGAACATATCGATCGTCACAGAAATGTGTAGGAAGTTGCTCGTTTTGGGGAAGGGGAAATGTGAGCTTCAAGTTTACCCATCCATCATTCTCCCCCTGCATCAAGGCCTGTAGTGATGTACTGGCAGTGTTTTAGTCCTGTTGCACTCGGCGCTAAGGCGATCGTAACTCCCGTACTTTAACATAGACTTGTGGTAGACCCCTCTTCTCCAGTACCCCTCTGACAAAATACTCATGTAACTTGCACCCAAGGGCACAAAACCCATAGTACCCCTGTAACCTCTAACCCAGTACCCGGCACCCCCGTAACCAGGTACACAGGTATCCCCTGTTACCCCTGAACAGCTGTCCCCTAGTAACCCTGTACAAAATACCAGTGTACCCCATGAGTAAAACCCAGTAGAGATGGCCATCAGGTGTGACATGCCTGATTGTGTATCATTGTACTTGTTAGATATTTGCTCATACTGTCACTCACTAGTTTGTCGGGAGAAGAACTTTATTTGGAAACAGTGGTGATAAAGAACACACACTGTCTCATAAGTGTACCTGGTCAAGGGATACTACCGACTGCGGAGTAAAACAACTCTCACTCACTCTGACACACCAACACACTAACTCTAACACACTCATCACTGACTCAGACACACCCATCCCTTTATTCCTGTGTGCATGCCGAGCGTAGCCTGTCCCGTCCATGCGGGTTGCCCACGGATATGGTTATTTCCAGTATATTGTTACCTGAGTGGTTTATGCTGTAGTACGTTACATGCATATTTATGAGAAATATTATTTTTGTGAAAGCATCCGCTGTAGATCTAAGACACATATCGATTGTGTTTCCTACAGACATCAAAGTCTGCTTGGCACATGTGCGTAAAAGTCTCGCATGGGAATAGTCATTACTCTGCCATCGATCGTTCTAGACTTGCTAGACAATTTTCAAATAGAAATGTTACTACCTTGAGATTACGTTTATATATCATATACGCACTGACTTTGAAACTGAAAAGCATGGATCATTAGTTTAATAGTGATTAAACCATGTTAACTGTTGATGGCAAACGGAACTACCAGACTGAGAGAATCTGGCTTAACGCCGCTATGACTACTACAGTTATGTTATCACGTGTCAGCTTAGGGAAGCACGAAGTGGTGCAGGTCTCTGAGGTTTACCACGAGTGAGTGAGTTTAGCTTTACGCCTCTTTTAGCAATGTTCCAGCAATACCCACGGCGGTGGACACCAGACAAGAGCTTCACACATTGTACCCATGTGGGGAATCGAGCCTGGGTCTTCAGCGTGACAAGAGCGCTGTAACCACTAGGCTACCCATCGCTCGGTTAACCACGAGCATGGGCATGGTGCCGAACAGAATACAGGGCCAGGGATCACAGACCACTATCATACATGTTGGATTCTGTAACGCCTAAGGGAAGTAACTCTGTACAGCGAATTGCGGCGCCTGTGATTGCGTCAAAGGAGATCGACAAGAATTGCCACGCAATTATAATTCAACGCTCATGATACAAGACTGTTATGATAACTACTCATGATATTCTAAACATTAAAATCTGACCTTCAATCTGTCACGTATTACAATTTATACTGATACCATGACATCAGTAGTACTACATATCTTATAATGTTCATATAATTTGAGATTATGCTTTCATCTGTCATCAAACTATCTTTGGCTAACCAAGTGGACAAAGTGTTCGCTCTTCACGACAAACACCGGGTTCGTATCCATATGTTGGTATCATGCCTGAAGCCCCTTGTTGTTGTTCCGTAATAACTTGAATCTTGCAGTGTGAAAACAATCATTCGCTGCCGTATGAAAAGTACTTTGGTATAAAAGAAATATCCATTTTCCATAAAACTAATGTCGGGTGTCAACGCTTGTTAATGAACCCGACACCAATTCTTTACAACCCTCGTAAAGCAGTGGTCTAATGGTATTTGGTAACCTACATGCTCTTGAACACATACCATTAAGCTTAAGCGACTGGTATTCGATCAAACATTACCGCTGCCTTCACTATCGGCAATTCTTGAATGAGACCTTGACGGACACAAACCCCCGGCTGCACAACAATGGGCACTGCTTGGCTGCAGGTTGCACCGCGAGACTGGGTTTAGGATATTACATTAGGAAATCATTATACTTATTGATATAGTCGTAAAGTATTCACCGGTGCGTCGCATGGGACAGCATGAAGCCTGTGTTACCAAAACTCCTACATGGAACAATTTCGGTCAGTTGATTTATATTTATTTTTTCAAGATATTTAGTTAATGTTTAAAGTATTTTATAGATAAATATAAATTTATCATTGTCATGTGATTGAATTTTCATGTTTGGACAATACTGAGTATATGCAAGTTCGATCAGAACAAGTATATTCGATCAGATGACACGCATAGATCAACTGTCAGCATTAGAGACAATCTAGACCAATACATTCCGGCATGAAAGCTTGTCTATATTAATATATCATGAACGATACAGGCCTTAACATCCGATATAAAAGAACAACGCTCTAAAGCCTTTGTACGCGCCGAAGTTCTTAAGATGGTTTCAAAAGCGAGCTAGTCTATGAATCTCTAATAACAGATATTTCTCACGGCAACATCTATAACAGCAGATTTGAGAGATATCTCCTATTGACATCTACTAGTATACACCTATTATAAACAACAGTACACTTCATTAACGTGATACCTTTAAGAGCGAACATTCAGAGAGCACGAGTGGTTCACACAATACCCTATTGTGACGCTACCTGTAAATACGACACACACGGCTTGCGCCTATAGTTCATTATCACGATTTCATTACAACGTTGAAAAGGCATCCACTCTAGCGGGAGACACTTGCTTTGACCCCAGGTCAGACGGAATGATACAATGGCTAAAGGCTGGAGAAAGTTCGGCTGTAACCTATGAGAATAAACATGGTCATGGCGAATACTCTTGGATAATACAACATCAATACTAGTGTATTATATACTGTAGCTACACTAACTTAACACATAATGGGTCGACGTTTCGACTGACAGGGCGTCAGGGTGGTTAACCCTTCTAAGGTTGTCGTATATATATAGTTTTCAGGAGTAAGATGTTGGTTTTGACATTGCCAACATTTGTGTCTTTTATCGGTATATGGTGACTCACTCAACCAGTTGCTGAATATGAAAAGATATTATGAAAATGTACGTAATTTGTTCTTCAAAACATTAGAAAAATTGTCATTATCATAAATGTTTAGTGGCTCGCCCCAAATTTGCCTCGAAGTTTAGTAAATAATTGCATATCTTGAAGAAGTAAGAAAACAGTTTGTCTGCAACAAACATCTCTCACATATTTCTGAAACGTAATTGAAGGTCTGTCTATACAAAGTGTTGTGTCACCGCATCGATGCAAAAACGAGTAAGAGAGTGACTTTAGTTTTACGCCGCACTCAGCATTTATCCAGCTATATGGCGGCGGTCTGTAAATAATCGAGTCTGGGCCAGACAATCCAGTAATAAACAGCATGAGCATCGATCTACGCAATTGGGATACGATGACATGTGTCAACCAAGTCAGGGAGCCTGACCACCCGATCCCGTTAGTCGCCTCTTACGACAAGCATGGGTTACTGAAGATCAATATTCTAACCCGGACCTTCAAGGCTATTTGAATATAGCACCCTTGAGGATGTGCTTGGTGCAGTACACCATACAACGGCCAGTATACGTAAAGTGGATGGCGCAAAGTGAAACGTAGTTAAACCCTCGAGGTCGGTCGTGGCGCAGACAGACCAACACAAACATAATCGTGCGAATCTGGGATTTGAACTCACGACCACAGGTTCCTGTCGAACCGACGCTTCACAGCGGATTTCGGCGCCTCGGGTGACCTGCGCATCCACCTCTTTGATGGCATAATCACAATTCAGATATTCTCAAAATTCAAACCAAAACTGAGCTGTTGTAATTCCATCGTAGGTTGACTTCTAAACAGAAGAAATAGGTCCTACAATAAATGCACATTAAGGAAATGAATTAATTTGTTCAAGACATGACTAGTGCAAATCACTGAAATATGCACGACAGTTAATATACAGTAAAAGGCTTAGAAACCTTTTCACTTTTTTAACCAGTTTCGCCTATTCTGGGTGTTTCCTTGACACTGTTGTGGTTAACTAATGGTCAGGCAGATCAATTTGTTACCCTTGTATAAAGGTGAAATTTGATGAAAAACAATCTGGCACCCTTGCCAATAGTACAATAGGCAAATCCTTTCGTATGCTAATATTTGTAATATTGTCGCAAGCAAGGAGACGTCATAGGACCCTGTCTGTCCCGCCTGGAAATGTTCGTTACGCACGTCCAACATATGACACGAGTCTGCCGGAGCCACGGTGTATGTTCAACTAGCTAGATGTCAAAGAAGTGAACATGTCTAGTTAAAGTTCCGGTGTTTGGATTTCACGGAGAAAACAGAGAGAGACACGTCATCAGATAATCCTGTAACGCGAGGGAAAGTCATTTACGTAACTAGTAAGGAGAAATTGCCGTTGAGTGAAAGTAGATCTAACATGCCATTCGTCAAACTACAGGAGCGGGTTGTGACGCTGATCAGCAAAGAATGCCAGCAGAGAGGAGAGAGGGACATAGATATGGTGTTGCCATGGTTACGTAAGAAAAGCGAGCTTCTTCAAGGACTTGATACAGGTATGATTTGTTTCCCCTCAGTGAGAATCCTCAGTTTAATAGTCGGCAAAAACAATCAACGTTACGAATTTGTTTTACAAGACATCAGTTCATATGTAAACAGTACATTTAAACAGTATGGAATATTTTGCAAAATCTAGTTTAGAACAGGTGACTGAACTAAGTGGCTACATTTACACTACAGTGAGTGTTTTGACGGGCAGTATAGAATATTCCAGGTTAGTATCTAATCCCTTTAACCAGCTTGTTCTGGTTACGATTCCGCGTGGGACTCCGGGGGAGAAGATGCGCCCAGGGCCTAGATTTTCGAAGCTCTCTTAGCGCTAAGACTGTCGTAAGTGCCATACATTAACATTAACTACGGCTATCTTAGCGCTAGGAGAGCTTCGAAAATCTAGGCCCAGGACTCAATACTCACAGTAAGGGCCGACTAATGAAGATTGGGTGGATACACGGGGTGGCCTGGGTGGTTGTATCGTTCTACAAAGACGACGTAGTTTGTGACTTACGCTGCCATGACGCCCTAAATGGATACAGAAGCCTGATCATTCCAGGTTACAATAACTCCTATCAACATGGACTAATCGTGCCAGGCGACTACGGTACGCTGGTCACGTTGTCAAACTCTGTGATATGATTTATATGATCCCGAGTATAGTGAGTGAGTTTGGTTTCACGCCATCTTTAGCAATACTCCAGCAATATCACGGCGGGGGACGCCAGAAATGGGCTTCATACAATGTACCTACGTGGGTAAACAAACCCCGGTCTTCGGCGTGACGAGCGAACGCTTTAACCACTAGGCTACCACACCTAGTTATACTTGTTACATGTATAATTGCACCCCAACGGCTGGGGATGCTGCCCATGGTATCAGCAACATATTTGTCTGGTCTACACTTGTTTATTTATAGTGTAAAGGCCGCTGCAATATAACTAGAATGATATTGAAGGCGGCGTTAAACAACAAATAAATACTTATTTACTAGAACTGTATATCTCCGCCTTGGGCGTTAAACAACATCATGTACTTTCTGAAGCGTGTGGATCGTGTGTGTTTCCAGACGTGCTGAAGGATGTGATCAGGAACTGCAGCTACCGCCACTCCACCATGGACGACATCCTCATCAGACAGGGCGACAAGGGGGACTGGTGAGACAACTTTCACGTAATACACGCACATATTGGGGGTGAGGTGATATGGGGTTGGCGTCTTGTTCTGGTACTATAAATACAGCGACGTCATGTGCGGCGTGCGTGCGCGCGCGCGCGCGTCTGTGGTTACTTGTCCCAACCCTAACTTAAGACAGTTTTACAGTGCGAGCCCATGACCTGTCACGCCGCAGATCAATGTGGAAACCCCACACCGACACTATAATGACTCCTACGATTCTTGGTCCCTGCCCACATGGGTACAACGTGTGAAGCCCATTTCTGGTGTTTCCCGCTGTGATATTGCTTGAATATTGCTAAAAGCGGCGTAAAACTAAACTCACTCACTCACTCCTGGTCCTACCCCTTTATTGCCGGCATTTGAAATTGGAAATATGCCAAGTTTGATCCCGGGAGCAGATGGAGTTGACACAGGATGGGGTACATGTGTCAGCACTGTATGTCAATACGGGAGTGAGTGAGTGAGTTAAGATTTTAAGTCACACCGGAAATAATTCAGCCATATCGTGACTAAATCAAGTTGTAGATTTATACTAATTAATGTCAATACGTGACTTTCGTCAACAGCTTCTTCATCATGTTGTCCGGGCGTACCTCTGTCTACATCGACACCATCAGATCTGACGACGATGATCTCTATCGCCCCAGCTCAGCCAAGGACGAGGATGTCGGCATGGATGACATCCACGGCACTAAGGGAAAGCGAAGGAAACCTTTAGACCGGACGAAATATGGGAAGTTCATCATGCATTTTGGTACGTGATAACATCTTCTGAAGTGTTATTTATGTGCATTTAATTATGGTCCTGATACAGAATATGCGGGGGCGCGGTGGGCGAGCTGGTATGTAGCGGGGCGCGGTGGTCGAGCTGGTATATAGCGGGGCACGGTGGGCGAGCTGGTATATAGTGGGGCGCGGTAGGCGAGCTAGTAGACTAACAACTAGTCCCTGAAATGAACATATTTTACTGAAAAAAAATTCATAGCAAAATAAAAAGTATATAATGAAAAGGAGCCCTGTGACTTTCTTCATTTTCAGAAGCTGAGGAAATCTAGACTTGCGTGGGCTTTCTTGGATATATTTACTTCAGGGTCTGTACGACAGACTAGCGAGCTAGCTAAGGCGCCAGGCTATAGTGATCCAGCGAGGTTGAGGTGTCAGGATCGAGCCCACCTGTGACCGGGTGTAAAAACCTTGGAGTCAACTTTGTGTGCAGACTCTTTCAATGTTGTCACAACCCCTAGTGTACAGTACACAACCCTGCGCACTTAAAAGAACCCACGAATCCGTTGGTATATGACCAGATGGTGGCCACATGAATACGTGCAAACTGTTTGCAGTGAAAACGTACCGATGAATTTCACTTAAAAAAAAAAAGTAAATCAAATAATGTGAAATTAAGATTGCGAATCCTCATACTTTTACCTTGCCAATTGAACATTTAAATCTCAGAATTTTATTCAACTTAGGATAAAAGTTGTTTAACAAACGATCATAGTTTCAAATCGCTATTATTGGTTTGTATTACAAGGGGGTACGTGCAGTAGTTGGAACAGTTAAACAAATGCAAGTGCGGTACATGATGAGCGTTAACATACCAACCAACCCTTCTTGTTCTCGGGGTTTCATTTAATGTGCATAAAGTTATGAGGATTCGCAATCTTAATTTCACTTTATTTGATTTACTTTTTTGTTTAAAGTGAAATTCATCGGTACGTTTCCACTGCAAACAGACTATAGTTGCGGGTACAGCAATGTGCAGTAAACTTGGACAAGGTACTGTGACTATGTGTCCCAGTCCACCCAGCTGTGAATGGGTACCTCGTTAGGATGAGAAAGCCACAATAACTCGGTGCGCCTAGTTGCTGCAAGAGTTGTATACTCCCCAGGGAGTTGAGATTGATAATACGATGTGCCGTTGCGATTGACATCCAATGGTCGCGGGGAAAATACCTTGCGCCTTGAGCATGCACTTGTTGCCTGGATATGAGCACTATATAAATACCCTATAATAAATTTAAAATAATAATAATAATAATAATATGTTCCCAAAACATCCAACAATTACAGGTCAAAAGGGGTATGGATAAATGTGCCAAGAGATAAACACCCATTAAAACCCTTTCAAACTGCACTTAAACCGATTGTTGCTAAACTAATGCCTATTCTTCTGTATGGGGAAGTATAGCGTGTGCCTGTAAATGATTTCTCAATTTGTAACCACCAGGTTAAAAAAATGTTGTATTGGGTAAATGTGGGACAAATACAATTTATGTTCATTCTATAACAAAATGTGTAAAATACTGGTTGCCAAGGAAACGTTATTCTGTGTCTGTATGATGAACAAGAACGTGTAAACTTGGTAAATAGATAATGACTGGTCTTTGTAGATTAGGCTTCGGAGATGCCTGGTCATGCCCTATGTATGGAAACAGAAATGTTTTTATTATAATTTTAACAACGATTAAGAGACAATTTTCTCCGTGATTTGATCGTCGTTGTTCCCTGGGCATTGTTCACAATTTGTTAATTATACTCGGTTATTTACAGCTGGACGTGACATAACCGATACATTCCTGACCGAATAAAGAAAAAAACACATAGCAGGTGCCATATTAAAATTGCATTTATTGTTTTCAATGGTACAGATGCAGGTAAGAGTTTCGGTGAGATTGCCCTGATTAGCGAGGATGCTGTCCGCAACGCCACCATCATCACTGACTATGAGACTGATCTCCTGGTCATCTCCAGGGACCTCTTCAACAGATCGGTCAAGGTCAGTTACAACCTGAGTCTCTGAACGCGAGGCGTGAAAAAGAACTGCATCAGAGTACAGATCATTGAACTATTGCTATCTGCGATGTTTATCATTTACTCACTCACCCATTCACTTACTCACTCACTCTGTCCCGCAGGCGAAGCAGGAGGAGGAGTATCGGGAGCGGAGGTCGTTTGTGAACACGTGTCCCCTCTTCTCCCATTGGTCGCCCAGACTTAGGAGACTCTGTGAGATGAGTCTGAGAAAGGAGACACACCCCTACGGGTCCGTCATAGCCACCCAGGGGCACCCCTCCACTGGTCTGATCTTCATTCTGAGGTAAGAGACACAACCCTGCGGGTCCGTCATAGCCACCCAGGGGCACCCCTCCACTGGTCTGATCTTCATTCTGAGGTAAGAGACACACCCCTACGGGTCCGTCATAGCCACCCAGGGGCACCCCTCCACTGGTCTGATCTTCATTCTGAGGTAAGAGACACAACCCTACGGGTCCGTCATAGCCACCCGGGGGCACCCCTCCACTGGTCTGATCTTCATTCTGAGGTAAGAAACACAACCCTACGGATCCATCATAGCCACCCAGGGGCACCCCTCCACTGGTCTGATCTTCATTCTGAGGTAAGAGACACAACCCTGCGGGTCCGTCATAGCCACCCAGGGCACCCTTCCACTGGTCTGATCTTCATTCTGAGGTAAGAGACACAACCCTGCGGGTCCGTCATAGCCACCCAGGAGCACCCTTCCACTGGTCTGATCTTCATTCTGAGGTAAGAGACACAACCCTGCGGGTCCGTCATAGCCACCCAGGAGCACCCTTCCACTGGTCTGATCTTCACTCTGAGGTAAGAGACACAACCCTGCAGGTCCGTCATAGCCACCCAGGGGCACCCTTCCACTGGTCTGATCTTCATTCTGAGGTAAGAGACACAACCCTGCGGGTCTGTCATATCCACCCAGGGGCACCCCTCCACTGGTCTGATCTTCATTCTGAGGTAAGAGACACAACCCTACGGGTCCGTCATAGCCACCCAGGGGCACCCCTCCACTGGTCTGACCTTCATTCTGTGGTAAGAGACACAACCCTACGGGTCCGTCATAGCCACCCAGGGGCACCCCTCCACTGGTCTGATCTTCATTCTGTGCTAAGAGACACAACCCTACGGGTCCGTCATAGCCACCCAGGGGCACCCCTCCACTGGTCTGATCTTCATTCTGTGCTAAGAGACACAACCCTACGGGTCCGTCATAGCCACCAAGGGGCACCCCTCCACTGGTCTGATCTTCATTCTGAGGTAAGAGACACAACCCTACGGGTCCGTCATAGCCACCCAGGGGCACCCCTCCACTGGTCTGATCTTCATTCTGTGGTAAGAGATACAACCCTACGGGTCCGTCATAGCCACCCAGGAGCACCCCTCCACTGGTCTAATCTTCATTCTGAGGTAAGAATCAGCCCCAGCATGTCCGTCATAGCCACTCAGGTGCGCCCTCAATGGAGTGAGTGAGGTTTACTCCACTTTTAGCAATATTCCAGCAATATCACGGCGGGGGACACAAGAAATGGGCTTCACACATTGTACCCATGTAGGGAATCGAACCCTGGTCTTCAGCGTGACGAGCGAATGCTTTAACCACTAGGCTACCCCACCGCCCCGCCCCTCAATGGGGTTCCATCTTGAGGTATAGGGCACATTTACAGTTCTGTCACAGTTAACGACAGGGCCGATTCTGAAGGTAAGAAAGATCCATATTTCTACATCATATCCAACCGGGACCTATCCTCAACTGGGCCCCATGTTTGGAGACTAGACGGACCTGCGTCGGAAGTGATGGCGGCTGTCTGTAAGAATTGTGTCGGAGACAAATATTCATCCTAACTTAGAAATCCCATAATCCAGCACCTGCTGGTCATATACAGTAACTTGGGTTACTTTTCAAATTTAACTTAAGTCACTGATCCTGTGATCGTGAGGTTGAATCACAGAATCGTTTTCATCCACTGTTTGTCTGCATCAAAATGGCAACCATATTTGAGTTTTGCCTAAATGGGGGAGCATTGCATTACTTCCCTCAATATTATTGGCACATCGTGATATACCCGAATTACAGCTCGAAGCACCGTTAAACCCAGCCCACTTACTCATTTCTTCAAATGCACTACATCCATTGCTTTAGTGAAGGTGACTACAGTATCCTAGGATTTCTAACGTGATAGAGCAGTCTGTACACTATGCCTAAACGTTCACCGATCAAAATGCTATTTTCCGCAGCGGTCAAGCCAAACTGGTCCTGGAGCCGTCAAAGCACGTGACGCAATACACCAAGATCATGAGGCCCCAGAACGCAGCAATATACAAACAGTACAAGACGTAGGTATTACACGGATACGTCACATAGGTTTCATACTCGTAAAATCTGTAATATATACACAGTACAAGACGTAGGTATTACACGGATATATCACATAGGTTTCATATTCGTAAAATCTGTAATATACAAACAGTACAAGACGTAGATAGTACACGGATATATCAGATAGGTTTCATATTCGTAAAATCTGTAATATACAAACAGTACAAGACGTAGGTAGTACACAGATATATCACATAGGTTTCATATTCGTGAAATCTGTAATATACAAACAGTACAAGACGTAGGTAGTACACAGATATATCACATAGGTTTCATATTCGTAAAATCTGTAATATACAAACAGTACAGGACGTAGGTAGTACACAGATATATCACATAGGTTTCATATTCGTGAAATCTGTAATATACAAACAGTACAAGACGTAGGTAGTACACAGATATATCACATAGGTTTCATATTCGTAAAATCTGTAATATACAAACAGTACAAGACGTAGGTAGTACACAGATATATCACATAGGTTTCATGTTCGTAAAATCTGTAATATACAAACAGTACAAGACGTAGGTAGTACACAGATATATCACATAGGTTTCATATTCGTGAAATCTGTAATATACAAACAGTACAAGACGTAGGTAGTACACAGATATATCACATAGGTTTCATATTCGTAAAATCTGTAATATACAAACAGTATAAAACGTAGATAGTACACAGATATATCACATAGGTTTCATATTCGTAAAATCTGTAATATACAAACAGTACAAGACGTAGGTAGTACACAGATATATCACATAGGTTTCATATTCGTAAAATCTTCAATATACAAACAGTACAAGACGTAGGTAGTACACAGATATATCACATAGGTTTCATATTCGTAAAATCAGTAATATACAAACAGTACAAGACGTAGGTATTACACGGATATATATCACATAGGTTTCATATTCGTAAAATCTGTAATATACAAAGATATAAAATTATACAAAACGGATATTTTCGTGTGACGTTTTAATGGATTTCTTTCAGTGTAAATGCAGACGGTTCTGTGAATAAAGAAAGCGTGACGTCAGACCAAATCCGAGTCAGACGGAAGGAGGGGTACGCTGCTGCCGAGAGACGGGTCATGTCAAGATATGTTAACTTATGCTGCGTGGAGGAAAACGAGATTGTTGGTAGGATGATATATACTGTTATACCAGATCCTTAGTTTGCCAGCCCACCCGTGAAGGTCCTGGTAACAACTTGTCTTCAGCAACCTGTAAGGCACGTTTTAGAGGATTAGGTGGTCAGACTCGCTGACTTGGTTGCTGCGTGTCACCGTCCCCCATTTGATCGAGGTTCATGGTGTCAATCACTGTCTTTTCCTGACTCGATTATCTCCAGACATCTGGGACATGATTGGTCGTCGTCTTCACATTCACCAATAAATTCAGCATTAAACATTCCAGGGCCATACTTGTACAGACATGGATTTGTTTGAAAATTAGTTGTTTTTTTAAATGAGCAATTATCATCATAAAATCAACATGGATTCCAATCATTTTGTCGTTTTTTATGAGTCAAAGGATCATACGGGTCAGAAAAACTGATGTTTTTCCATCGTGGTCAACACGAGAAGTTTTGTGTACGTGTTGAAAACCTATCATTGCAAAAACACAGGGGTGCTAAATTAAGGTCTTTGTGTATATATCAAGAAAACGCTCGTTTCTCTGTCTCTCAGGTGATATAGAGATGAGTCTGGATCTGGAGACAAACATTGGGACTCTCATCTCCACAGAGAACACCGAGATCTTCATCCTCAACAGCAAGAACTATGAGCGTCTGGTTCAGAAGAAGAACCCACACACGGCGGAGACGCTGAAGATGGAGGCGTACCGGAAGGTGTGCGGCCGACTCTGCACCACCACGGGGGCACAGATACCGGTCCTCAAGAAGCTTCAGGGCGTGCTCCAGGATATGCTCCCTCATCCTGAACTCTACCTTAGAAGAGCTGACCACAGGAGCAAGGAGTTGATACACCTCATCGACATGTTCCTCAAGGATAAGGGTCCGTTTATCCAACCAGTATTGCCTGATGCTATATACTATAAGCAGCGGTCGGCAGAGAAAGCTAAAAAGATTGTCGCTAATGCTGCGCGATTTCGGAAATCAAATGATCCACGCGGGAAACCAACCAGGATGCCAAGAAGTTTGGATAAGTTAAGAAACAACATCGATGCTGAGATTGAACTCTTAGGTTACAGACCTAGATCAACAGCAAACGTTGCTCTGGGAGATGATGGGGTTTACAGGCCTCTGTCGTCTGCGCTTACTCAGTCGGGGGGAAAGAGTTCCCAGTCTTTCAGACCGTTGACCGCCGCGGGTTCTGTGACGGTAACAAGATGTGACTTGGAATATGAATTTGGACAGGCACCCCAAAGGGAAGAAACTCCAAACCGTGATCTGATTGTTGGAATTTTTGAAGAGATGGAACAGTTCCAAAAGGACAAAAAGGATGAGAGGTCCAGGGTGATATGTTCGTGTGTGAGGAAGAAGAATGAGAACAAGAGGCCTGAGGTGGTTTGTGATGATGTGGATGACGAGGAATACTTTGACTGGGAAACGAGTGACTCAAATCTCTGTGTTCTCGAGAACAGGATCAAGTCTTTCTGTGATCAAGGAACACATTCAATGTCAAAAGATAGGAACCATATTTCAGAACTCAGGAGATTTCAAATTGAGGTAGGTAAAAACTTGGAATATATGTTCTCGTGTGTTAAGGTTTGCCAGTCCGAGCCCAAATATATATTCATATGCATTAAATACATATCGGAAAGAAAGGAATCTCAAATTGTAACAGTAGGAAGACCATCTCTTGCCTAAATTACCTATCCCAACATTTCCCTAATACCGGTATTTCACATATTGTTTTTGTCAATAAAGTTGAACAAGAACTGTATATCAATGCAAAAGATGTGTTATGAATGAGTGAAATAATTGCAGTTATACATGTGTGTTTTTGAAAAAACATGAACGTTAGTGAAGTACATAATGACATCGGTCAAGTGAAATATACATTGTACATTTTATAGTCTTGTGAGGAAGTAAATGTCTAACGCCACACTCAGTCCAACTATACTAGGCACATAAAGAAACTGTGCATACAAAAATTTAAGATCTAAATTTATCAAACCTGTGTAGACACATAAGGATTAAAACTCAGAGATTAGTGACATGTATCCAACATGCATGCACGTGCCACGTTCCGTGACGTCAGTGGGTTTGTCCTTGAGACGTGCAATACGTTGTTGCACGTGCATTCCGGGAAAGAGAAACAGAGCAAATGAATGCCACACAATACTGTCACTTTGGAAAGCTCAACCCCTGCCCTTGCGATCGTTCAAAAAATTTAAACGGCTATTGAAACGCATAGCATGCCAAGGCTCACGTCTGCACAACGTCATGAGGCCATTGGGATGGTCCGTGGGGGAATGTCTCAACGAAAAGTGGCTGCACATTTCCACTGCCACCGGAACACCATTTCTGCACTGGTGAGACGCTACAAGAACACAAATGACATCATCGATCGGCCACGTTCTGGACGTCCACGTGTAACAACGCCAAGACAGGACAGATGGATCAGGGTGACCCATCTTCGCATCAGGTTTCAGACTGCAGTGATGACTGCCCGAACCATCCCAGGACTTCGCCGTATCCACCCCAACACAGTTCGACAACGTTTACGTCATCACGAGATCAGACCACGACGTCCCGCCATACGGCCTATCCTGACACAACGTCACCGACAAGCTCGCCGAATGTGGTGCCGAAAACCTTGCCGCAGACCCTTGTTTTGGTGAAGAAATGTTGTTTTTACAGATGAGTCCAGGTTTAACATTTCCCATAGTGATGGACGTCAACGTGCCTATAGACGCGTGGGAGAACGTTTTACACAGGCCTGTGTCTTGGAGAGGAATCGCTTTGGTGGTGGTTCCGTGATGATTTGGGGTGGAATATCAGCATGCCAAAGAACTCCTTTGGTGATTGTTCAGGGCAACTTAACTGGTGTGGGCTACAGGGATCAGATTCTTCGACCTGTGGCAATTCCTTTTCTGCAACGTCATGGCCCTGGGTTAACATTCCAACAGGACAATGCCCGCCTTCATACGGCAAGGGTTGCTATGGATTTCTTGCAACACCACAACGTTGACTTACTGCCTTGGCCTGCAAATTCACCGGATCTCTCCCCGATAGAGCATGTTTGGGACGAGATGGATCGACGTCTACGCGGTCTTCCTCATCCGCCAGATAACGTCCTTGACCTTGCAACATAACTTGAGAGAATCTGGCGTGACATCCCACAAGCCTTCCTTGCACGCTTGATAGGCTCTATGCGTCGTCGATGTACTGCTGTTCTCAATGCCGATGGTGGACATATCCGTTATTGAGCTTGTGACATGGTCGTTTGACCCCTGCCCGCTTGTGGACTCGTGACGTCATTGTGATTGACTTTTCAATTGAAATTCTCCCGACTTGTTATGGTCTCATGATCCCTCCATTACAGTTTATATGTACCTTTGACATTGTTATCGTACTTATCAACTGGGATAATATTTTGACAACGCACAGTTTCTTTATGTGGCTAGTATATATAGCGTCCATAAAAGTTGACTTAGAACCGGTAAAACCACCGGAGCTATATTCTGTATCAGTAACGCACGGGTGTCCGAATCTTAAAAATCTCGTCCAATAATGATGAAGGTGTAAATTAGGTTCAGGCACACTAAAACGGATACAATTAACAACATCTTGATTGTATGTGCATTTCGTTTACTTTATCATTTCAGCGTCCCCAATACGTGCCTATCCCGGGAGGGTCTGTCTTTGTCCACCGACGGCCGTGTCGGTACCCCGTAGACACCCCCGTCAATCCAGCACTACACCAGCATGTTAGACGCTTCATGTTATCCAGAAAGAGACACCACATTGGCACAGACACCGTCTGTCTGAGTGACACCAGGCCCCTCTCTGGTCGGGTGCGCGCTGGGTTTTGACATTGCTGTAGAACACGTGTGACTGCCAACCGTGCTGGAAACTACACACCATATATCACACTATACTTCAGGTTTAACGGAAAGTCAAGATATTCCAAATGAAGCGTTTGTCATCACGAATTAAGCAATATGTCAGCAATGATACAGTTACATTACAGTTACATTGCGCTGGCAATAATAGAGATCTATTTGGGACAAGAACTACATTGGGGTATGTTGTGCGTTTGCGGTCACTGTTAACACAATAGTAGCACTCCTGTATGGAATTGAAATGATCGCAGTCCACATCGATATCCAATATGCGGTTTGTCAGTTATAAGTTACGTCTGTGGGAGGGATAAATCGTGGCCTACGCTGACCATCAATGTGGTCTTTTTCACTTGACATGTCAGGAAAACAAACGTTGACAATATGGACCAACAGAGGAACAGACGATACGTGTTGTATGTGATCTTTCAATGTCATCCTGAAAATATCCATCATCTGAATTGTTTTAAACATATTTTGTTGTCCAAAAAGACAAAAAAGGATTGGGCGCAAGTGAGCCACTATTTGTCGCCTTCTCAATATACGCAGGATGAATGGCTCACAATTGGGCGCAAGTAACTCGTTCATGTCTGATGTGAAATTAACGATCTAAACATGTCCTTGTAACAAATCACGGTCCAGATCATAACGGTGTCTCCTGGACACAACGAACTGTGGATGCAACCAACGTCCCTTGGGGCGGTCTATTGTCTTGCTCCTTCCAACTGCGGCATACAAAACATCCTGTTTTCCTTGTTCTGTGGCTGATCCTGACATGGAATTGTTGGATGACGGCCCCCTTGTGCATTCACGAGTACTGAGCTATCTTATATCCATAGGTATTGTCATTTTATCCAAATTCATTTCACTTAAAGATGCCCCCTTGTGTGTTGCTTGATTTGGGAACATTATTTTACATGTATGTTCGAAGCAGAATTCTAATAAATCTGATAATGGAACCTTTGTTATTGCTCGTCAACATAGGTTCCAGTTCTGATAACCTGATCAACTCAAGTCATTTACACCACCAAAACGTATTTCTGGGTACTTCTAGACGGTTTACTCCCATAAGAACTACATCCCAAATTAACTACAGGGATTAATTAGGGATTAATTATCTGAGTAGAGGCACCCCCATGGCATGTAATGAGCACAGCACATCAGCTCTCCCAGAAGAACTACAGACCAGTAACTTGTATGTTGTTGTAAAGGACAAGAGAGAAGGGTATGCTGTAGTTAGTGAATGTTCTTGTATTCATATGATAGAAACAAAAAAAGCCAAGCTTAGTATATTAGAGTAAAGATAAAGGTATATTTATAGACTGCAATCCAGGACCTCGATGCAGTTGGCTACTTATTGAAGCTGGGCTAAACTAGTTCTACATGGATCAGATTGAACACCCAGGATGAAAAAAGTGACACTAAATTATCACACTAAATATATAAGCCTATCTATAGATGAACTATCTATATATCTATATATAAAACTCCAGACTATATCTGCACAAAATCTTTCACTGTTCAACGGCTCTTCGTGTGTACAATAAAAACTAAGTGTCGTCATAGGTGACGCAAAACGGTAGTAGCTATGTCGTCATCATGTGTATGACCTTACAGTTAGTGACAATAGCTATTATGTAATATATATATAATAATAATAATAATAGTAGATTTGTATTGCGCTTTTCCATACTTGGATATTATGCTCAAAGCGCGCAGACATATATATAAGACATATCTTCTTAGGTAGTTGAAAATGCTGTTCATAAAGCAGTAAAAGTCCCAAGAGAGACACTTATGGAAACAAAAGACACAAATACAGAGATGGACATTCTTCCATTTGTTTGTACCTACAGTCCTAATAACTGTACAATTATGCCCATTATAAAAGCAAACCTTCCAATTTTGTATAAAAGTGATGCTATGAAAAAAAATTTATCAGTCAGTGTAACAAAATGTCAAACACCTCGCGGAACTTGTTCAATCATAACTGAAGACTGCAAATTTACATTTTGTGAATGCAAACTATTTACTGTCAAAACCATCATGAACTGCCACAGCAAAAATGTTATATATGTTTTATTTGTTTTGTGTTGGGCAAATCCATTAAGCAGACGCGGCTGACAGCACGTAGTTAATCTGTGCCCTGGACCATAACATGTGTTGTTTTAAGCTGTAGTTCTTATGGGGGGACACCTTCTACAACATGTATTCCGTGATGGTCTGGCCACCAGATGCTTCACTCTTTACATTAGACACTATACAAGTGAAATGTTATTGTAAACCAAGTCAGTTCCCTTGTATTCTTAAAGGTTCTTAAAGGCTAATACATGTATGATACATGCAAGCAATATTTGAATCTCTTCAGTGAAACTTACAAATACTCATTTGATCTGAACCCACAATCACAGGATCCTGGCATATCCAAGGGAAACAAACTCATAATCCTGAGTAATGAAAACAATGAGCCATTTCAACCTGATTTATTCCATCATCACATCATATATCACTCAATCTTGATTAGATAGTTTTCTTTGCATTCCATAATTCATACAAACTGACATAAATAACACATAACACAAATGTTAATTCTTTACACACCATACTGGCAATATTTATATTATAATAAGAATAACACCACTGTATTCAATAGTTCGCTATGTTAGGTCAACAGGACCACCACTATACCTGGCAGTGGTACATGTGATAGATAGGCAAATAATTAACTATCAAAACCCTCATTTAACAATCAACTGTTCCAAAGGTATCAAAGTGGGAAAGCTAGTACTTTTATTAAGCACAAATCTTATAGATCTGGTTGCTTTCAACTGATACAAGTCTTATGAATCCACAAGCCATACAATAAATATTCAGAAAACTAAACATGCTATGAATCAAACACCTTGAATTTTTTGTAAATCTCTGCTTGATTGATGATTTATAATGGAACTTGAGAAAGAGAGTTTCCATGAACCTCATCACACTCTCATCTGGAGGCTGGCATCATGGCAGCCAATCCACTTTATCATGGACACAGTTCCAGTTGTTTTGATGCTGCACTGAATGTCAGCTGTAGCATGGCCCACCTGGTTAATGTGGGCGGAAAACCAAATGACAGGTGCTGGACATGATCACATTGGTGAATCTAATAGGCACGCATATAGAACAGACAAACTAAGGATCATTATCAGCATGAATCTGGTATTCCAAAACATGATTAGCCCGGTAAACTAAGGGAGACAACTCCACACAACAAAACTGTATTACCTTTGAATGTAGGGGCACCTCATGATACACAGGGATTTACCGGACGCCAATTCCTGCCTCCTATACACATAAAAATGGACAATGGACGCAACAAAATTTATAAGCACGTCCACAGGGACTCAGAAAAAGTCCAACTACTGATCATGATACACAATACAATAACAGTATTAATAATAATATCTAAGTGTCCGGGACCCACATTTTGTTGTCCAAGACCCCTGAAACTCTCAAATACAGGAGTCCATGTAAATCCCTGGATACATATATTCCCAAGACCTCTAGATTTTATCTGCTTAATTTTTTTGAGAAAGATAAGACTTCACTGAAAACCACAAGTGATAAATCACATCACATCCATGTGCTGTCATGTGATAATTGCAGATTATTTGATTGATTACTACACTCATTACGTCTAAATTCAGGGTAACACAGCAGTGTTGGAGCAGCAATCTACACAGAGCTTTATCTCGATACCAGTCAAGAAACATAAGTAGGGCTAAATGTCAAAGAGCCTATTTTCTGTGGGTTTCAGGAAGTGGTTTTGTGAGATAATAATATGCAAGTCATTGGTCTTAGACATTATTCTTCTGTAGTATAATCAGTACAAAGCTATGAGCAAAACTGTCATGCTGGGTCACAGATGCTGCTGTTTAATTTAGTTAGCAATGTTTCTGTATTTAATCATGTTTTAATTTGAAAACTTATACTGTATATAAGAAACAGAAAAGTGAATTGTCATTCATAGGAACAAGTGTGACAAATATCCAGACAATTCTACTAATAATTCTTTTTAAACACCTATTGGGGCTGAACACACCAAGAAGGGCGAGGTCCTTATCTCACCCTTCACACCTGAACAAGAGTGCCCTGTAAAGGAAACTATGTTGTGATACACTGTGAATCTGGACTCCCAGGTCACAACTGGATACAGGAAGGTTCACCCCCTGACAAGTTCAGGGGAAACGATCCAGCAGCAGCAGGAACGACTAGGAACCCAACCAAAGCATATTCAATGAACTTGACTCAGTTAAAATAACAATTGCTTGAGAAACCCTTGAGAAAGTAGCACTTAACATTCATTTTCAAAACAAACTGTCTTCCCTGCACTTCTTCCATTGTGTTATAACTGACTGACTGAGTTTGGTTTTACGCCGCTTTTAGCAATATTCCAGCAACATCATGGCGGGGGACACCAGAAATGGGCTTCACACATAGTACCCATGTGGGGATTCGAACCTGGGTCTTCGGTGTGACGAAATTGTGTTATAAAGAAACATTTTGTTACATGACCACACAGGGCAATTCTTGTGTTGTAGCACAACAGACCATGATGGATGCTATACGTGGTGACTCCTCACTGCTAGTCGCCATCATGTATGTACTGAGAGATGCTGAGGACAGTGTTTGCTGTAGCTACAGCCATCTTGAGAGCATTCCTCATGACAACCAGAGCATCCACCACTCTTGGAAACACATCTTCCTCAGAGACCTTGGCCACCTTGTTCCAGTCAATGTGCTGTTTCGGCCATAGTCCACTTGCCTCACGTACAGAAACATACTTAAACTTGTCAGCCTCTGCCAACCCCAGCAATCCACAATTACAGGAACTAGTTTTAGAATGTATGTTACATACATCCGTGTTGGGACACTTCCAGATATGGTAATGTTCAGCATCTGTGGACACCGTGTCAGAGGTCTCAGTGCTGAGGTCGGAGGTTAGCCTCAAGGCTACAGACAGAAGACAGTGGGTAAAGGTATCCAGGCTGGCATTCAGCTGTGACTCGGTACACTCAAACTCATTTAGAAGATTTGATTTGTCTTCTCGAACCTAAAGGATACAAAAACGATTCATTTAGGCATGAATTATTATAACTGGGCTACAATTTATAAACATCTTTTAGGTAGTCAATCAAAATAAACAGGACAAAACCACAAATATTGTCAAAAACATGTATCATATCTTAGGAGTAACATCAAAAGCATGAAACACAGAAATAAAATACTTCTTTTAAGTCCAAATTAATCATTTCCTTTCTATCATGTCTATGTTTTCCAACTTTAAAGTATTATTATTACAGTAATTAAGGAACTAAGAGGAAGAAAGAAACTATGAATTCTATCCCCATCACTAAACCAAGTAGTTCACAACAAAAATCTCTTGCAGGATTCTAAACTGATTGAGCCTTATTGTAGCCTAAGTGTAATTCACTTGCTTCTTCCATGCTGCTTAACACCAATCTGAGCAGTTTCAAGCTGTATCTAGGTGTGCTGTAACACATCCAGTGATTGATAGTGCGAGCATCGACCCATGTTGGCTGTATACAAAAACATACAAATCCTTTGTTCGCCCCTTACGAACACTAAAGGGTTATTGGGTCCAGTTCTAACTGAAATCTTTGAAGAACAATATTATCTGAAAATGAAAATCGTCTTGACTTAGTCATCATATCATCAAGTGTGGCTTACCTTAGCCGTGAGGTAAGCTGCGACATGGGTGAGCCAGCAGCCTCCCCCAGGCAGGACGTGGGGATCCCCCAACAGCAGCTGTAAGGTGTTGGTTGATGTCTGGCTCAGAGCCTGGGGAGCAGAGATAGACATAGGTAACTCCTCAGTCTCCTTTATCATTGTGTTTCAGAGTCAGTGGTGTGTTGGGGGGTTGAGCCTATGAAGAATATCCTATTCATTTGTGAAACTGCTTGTATTAAGTGGAGATACAACCAACTTGCATAGATGGAGATGGTCTAGTGTTTGATTGTTTGTTGCTTTGAGCAGCCCTGGACAATCAATAGATTATATTGTTATGATCAAACAAAGTATTAACACTTCCGTGATTGCTAGGAACACGTACGACATGCTTCAACCAAAGGAATAATATCAACGCTTTTGTAAAAGCAATTATAATGAACCGTCCCTGTTATCAGTTTTATATGCCTTGTTGATCAGTAAAGTGTTTACTTAGAAGCAAGGGGTGTTTAGTTTGGGGGGTCAAATTTCTCAAGTTCATTTTGGTGTTGAAATAATCCAACATACCTTCACTTCCTCAAGAGTCTCTTCAAGGGAACTCTTCAGTACCAGAGTCACAACTGGTGCATGCTCCTGAGTCAGGTGGAGATAACTCTTGCCACACCAGATCTGATGGGTGACACCATCCAGCCAGCCAAACCCACTCCAGCCTTCCTCCATACTGACAGTCAAAACCGACAGAGGAGCGGCACCTAAGATAACAAATAAATGAAGTTGCTTCACATACACATTTCTTTTGGGGCAGCACATTATATTGAAATTGTGCAAATACTAATAAATAAAACACAGTCCAACAGTACCCATTACAACTGCTGCATTATCCACTCCCTGACCACTTCTTGATCCATCTGTAAGTCTTACCTACCCCAAATATCTCCAGTATATTGCAAACAGTAACATGCAGTACTGAAGACATGGCAGAAGAGGTATATAATTGTTGAGTAACTGCCACAAAAATGTTTTAGTTTTGAAAACATTTGAAGTGTCTGTGCTTTACCACTCAATCTCTGACAAGTTGTGAAATAATTAAACAAATCAAACTGAGAAGTGTCAATATGATCAGTGTCAACACCAATTTCAAATAGTACAAGGTCTCTAACCGCTGTCTAATGTTGTGGGGCTTAGATATCTAGTTATTACTATATTGGCTAGTTATTGCAATATACACCAGATGAGTTGAGGAGTGTTTTGTAAATTTCCATGCTACTTAAAATTATTGAAAATTTGCCACGCATGAAATTGCTATTACATGATTACATGGTTTTCAGTAAATTAAGTTTCTCGCATAGCCAATAAATATTTGAAGTAAGCCCCTGGTCGTAAAAATGCTATGTTGCCTGTTCAGCCAACGGAGTGCTTAAATATGTGCATTTGTCGTACCAACCTGTCAGATCTCTGATGTATGGAACAGCTGCAGATCCCAGCCTGTCAACAAACAACAGTCCAGCATGTCGGAGGAATACCTTGACCTTTGGATGAATCACTCTCTGGCATAGCAGCAGTCCAACACCACAATGCAGGAGTTGCTGGCACAACGACAACATCCTCTCCAGCACAGCTTCACCAACATCTACCTCATGCTCTGTCTCATATATCGCATCTATGAGACCTTCTGAATCCCCCGACATGGACTCTAGCACCAGAGCTACCTTAGTCTTAACACATCCTTGTTGATTGGGTACAGAAGGTACATGAAGAATTTTCTCAGTCACAGATGATAATTCCGGACATTCAATCAACAATCCTTTCAAACATCTGGATTCCAGGATGTCACTGTTTGGGAAACATTGTATGTGTACACACGATCAGAAAAAAAGTCCTGTCTTTCTGAAGGTATTGTAGACAGGAACACGTCGAGGAACAAGACGCACATTTTGTCTTGCACTTCACTTCTCATATGTGAAAGTTTTGGCCGACACAAACTTCTCAACAGAGTCATCACGTTTTGAAGATTGAACACATCTATCTCAAACTTGCATGCACACTTACTTGAAACCAAGTAATTATCTATAATATTTACAAACCTTTCATAACACTCGATCAAAAGTTTCCTGTGTACATCTGTCTTTAGGGATCTATCCAACAAAGAAAGACACAAATTGGCTGTGAAAAGGCCGCCATCTTTAAACCTCTGTAAATGACCTTGAACAGCACTGGCAATAAGCTTCAAAACAGGTGTTGAAATTGACATAGCTGACAGCAAACGAATGGATGACTTTGTCCATGTGACATGACCCCCGCGAGTGAGTTCTGAACGACCTTGGCCTTGCCATGAGGTCCCTGGCATGAGGCCAGGAGGTCCCGGAAGACCTGAATTCTGGTCCTGATGGCTGGGTCCTCGAGGCAGTCCACTTGGAGGTGAGCCCCAGCGGAGGGCCTCTCAAGTCTGCTTGCAGGCTGGGTCATCCTGGGTCAAACAATCTTACATAGTTCAGTGACCTTGGCAAGCAAATTGGGAAACAATAATTGGGATTTAAAAAGAGTTACTTAGGGACTGTTAATAATTTATGGCAAGGAGGGGGGTGATTTATGGAGAAACACATACAATGTGAATGATTCTCTCCCCCCCATCCCCCCATATTGTATAAGAACAATTACCTCCCTTCCCCTCAATAATTCTTAAGCATAACTTTGAAATATTTTTATGTACAAATACATCCGAATACATGCGTACAAAATTGAAGACCCCCTACCTACCAAGAACAAAATGGGTGATCCCCCCTTAAAATCATCATACCCCTAGCCATAAGTTATGAATGGTCCCTTAAATTTAAGTCTTCAAACATTGTATATTATAATCATGTTCAAAGCAATAACATAACATTAACTTGAAAGCTTCTACGTCTCTTCAGCCATGTTATCGGTCATATTCAGGTCATCTCCACAAACCATTCATGTTAGTCATAACCAGGGCTCCAGATAAGGGCCCGTATCGGCGTATGTACGGATACAAAATATGCATGATACGGAAGCAAATAATTTAGAAAACATAGCAGGTAAGCACCACAGCAATGGTGTATGGTCTTAGAATCATTTGCAGACGTACTTATCTGAAAAGAATATTGGTTTATTGTTTATTGACCTGTTTACACAAGACTATCAATGTTGTGGTGCATATATGAAACGAAACACAAGGTTACTGATACGCCATTAAATTCCACTCAGTACTCTAAATGTACTCTTAAGGTTTTCCAGTACTCCTGTAGTGAAAAAATATGGAGTACATACTCCTGATGTTGAAATATTATCTGGAGCCCTGTATAACTATACAGTGTAGGCATATACACAAGAATCCAGATTTGGGTATATATTAATGACTGGGGGGCTAGGTCTGGCTAGAAAGATCTATAATCGGAAATATCATTCATTTGTAAAATTAGTAATAATTATTGATATGAAACTTGTGTCATTGATAACATTGTAAATAAACTTTGCGATGAAGTAAAGTTTTATCTTAGTCACACAATACACAAAGTTAGGTCTTTTTTCATGTGTTGTTTCTACATTATGTTCTTGACACTGTTTTGTAATGATTATTACATGTCACCACTCACCAGTGATGTGAAACATGTTGGCTCTCAGACTAGTATGCTTTAAGCTCAAAGTACCTTACCTGATATATTTATTTAATGATTACCAATCTCCATGATCTCCAGCCAGCCCTACTTGGGGCTAAATATCAGAGTCTGAGCAGGTCCAGATATAGCACAGTTTTTGTTCTAAGATATTGAAAATTGAAGCGAATATTTATTCAGTTTCAACAAAATCCTGTTTTGGATAACACATGAGGTATTTAACTCATTAAAATAGGCTTTGAAGATCGTAAGTGTAGAAATCAGGGACTGTATCTGGGAGTCAGTGATTAATAGTTGGATGCTGCAGTCAGCATGATCAGCAATATTCCAGTTACATAAAAGCTTCAACAGTAAATACCTTCAGTGCTGTCTCAGTTCACTTTGTAGGCTCCAGAGACTTTGGTTTCCAGGATGCCCTCTCAGAGGAGGTGGAGGCCTTGACCTCCCAGAAAGGGTATGTCCCCAAGTAGATGACGAGGGACAACCCAATCAGAGACACAAACTTGTTGCGTTGAGCCCACATGGACGCATTGGCCAGCATCCCTTTCCATGCCACTTTCTCAGAATTCATCTTGCCTGTATTCTGTCATAAGAAAGAAAGAAAAGGGAATATCAGTCTATGCACAAAACTTTTAAGTCTACTAGCTCCAACTTGGCTCTTAACATCAGTAATAGGAGTTATATTTTAAGATGCTTCTGTACTTTCATTACTAGTTAACTGGGGAGTTTTCATTCCCAGTCGGCTGGGCGAATATACATGCTGCCTCTGGGGAGTAAACAAGGTGCTTGAGTAAAGGATGATTCATTCCTGTTGCAAATGTTTCCAGGTTGGACAAATATATACTAGATATATCCAGCACTCAGCACTCACCCGCCAGGTGTGGAATAGATAATCTAGATTACATTTTCTGGAAGGATGCAATAACCTAGGTATATTATTCCAATGAAAGAATTTATCATGGAGAATGAATCCTTTGTCACACTAGGAGCTTAAACAGTCACCATTTCATCCTCCCAGGTGAGTGAGTGAGTTTGGTTTTACGCCGCACTCAGTAATATTCCAGCTATACTATTCACACTGTGCTAAGGATCAAACCATTGACTCAAAAGAAAACTATGATGTGGGGTTTAATTTGGTTTAAATATCTAAGCTTATTGTAAGCATGGATCCTAGGTTTCAGTATGTCACTGCATCTTGTGGATCCCATACCTGCTATTCACAGGTGTTGTGGACTTGTCAATGACTCGTTCCATGATTTGCAAAATGGTTGATTGGTGCCATGAAAATCATGTTTATGGTTACTCATGTAACAAGTGCATAAGGCTAGATTAAAGTGGCTGTTTGTCTAAAGTGGGGTTACCATATCATTATTTATCTAGTTTTATATGGATACAATTTCAATTTATAAATCTATGTTTAAGTAAAGTTCTGAATTTTTGTGATCCTTAGCAAAGTGTGAGTAGTATATATGGCGGCGGTCTGTAAATAATTGAGTCTGGACCAGACATTCCAGTGGTCAGCAGCATTGATCTGCGTAATCGGGAACCGATGACATGTGTCAACTAAGCCAGTGAGCCTGGCCACCCGATCCCGTTAGTCGCTTCTTACGACAAGCATGGGTTACTGAAGATCAATTCTAACCGGGACCTTCACGGGTCCATCCTACCAGGTACCCATTCACTGCTGGGTGAAAGAGGCATATGGCATACAAAGTCTCTTGTCTAAGCAGTAACTACAAGTAACATGTGCTTCAATAAGGGCAGGACTCAAGCCCCAGAAAAAACTGGCTTACAGTGGTAAAGTGAAAATCACTGAAAAGAATATTTACAGGAATTTCTTACCTCTTTAATAATTAAATTCACAAGTCTGGTGGTATTCCCTGAAGAACTGTATCTTCCTACTGAGAATAGAACTATTGATTTTGTACACTGTCACTGCTGTATGTTCACAATAATCATGATCTTGACACAACTACTTCTTGGTTGCCGCTTCTGCTCTTGTGAGGTCAAGTCCCATGACTTTTACTTCCCTGTTTTCTTTAGGCACATACATGTCAGAGAACTGTAATGCATACCAACCCAGATGCGCTCCAATGACAACAGGCAACATCACAACGAGAACACGATTACGACACAAAAAGGCTGTGAAGGCATTCATGATTGCAAAGCTGAAATACAAAGACAGAATTATGTTTCACTATTTGCCTACCATCAAATATTCAACAAAGATATTATATTAGATCTGTTGTATGGTTTCTGCTCTTACTGACACAGCAGATTCGATTTGAAGTTTATGTTTATAGAAAATCTTTGTTAGCTATTACATTTTTGTGAATAATGACTTACAATGCAAATTATATTGTTGGAACACAAAATGTATCATTTGAAACTTCAAGCAGTGCGTGAATCTGTATTTAGTTCCGAGTAGTAAATGTTCTGGTTCGGAATAAATGCCGTGAACAAATACCGTAGGCCTAACCTATTCCAGTGATTATTGAATGCAAAATGGACTCATCCAACTTGTCAACATCCGGGATGTCTACTAACTTCAACTTGGTTACATGTTGACTGTAACCTGGCTACTGACTATCTTCAACTTGGTTACATGTTGACTGTAACCTGGCTACTGACTAACTGTAACTTGAGTACATGTTCACTGTAATCTGGCTACAGACTAACAGTAACTTGGTTACATGTTCACAAACCTGGCTACTGACTGACTAACTTGGTTACATATTGACTGTAACCTGGCTACCGACTAACTGTAACTTGGTTACATGTTGACTGTAATCTGGCTACTGACTGATTGTTAATTGGTTACATGTTGACTGTAACCTGGCTACTGACTGACTGTTAATTGGTTACATGTAGACTGTAACCTGGCTACTGACTGACTAACTTGGTTACATGTTGACTGTAACCTGGCTACTGACTGACTGTAACTTGGTTACACGTTGACTGTAACCTGGCTACTGACTAACTGTAACTTGGTCGCAAAATGACTGTAACCTGGCTACTGACTGACTGTAACTTGGTTACATGTTGACTGTTACCTGGCTACTGACTGTAACTTGGTTACATTTCGACTGTAACCTGGCTAATGACTGTAACCTGATTAATAAAGGTAACTTGGTTACATAATAACTGAACTCTTTTTAACACAAGATTCATTTAGAATCATCAGTTCGGATTCTGGGGAATCTACAATGTATTTTCATAAAAAAAATTTAAGGAACTTTCACACATGATAATTGCTTCTTGATAGCCACATGATTTGTTCCATATGGAACAAATACCGTAGGAAAATCTTTTTTTTTCCTTTCCGTTCCCCCCACGACCCAACTTTTAAGACCACCCGGACAAACAAAACCCTCTTTTAGACACTTTATGATGTGTGTGGAAGTTCCTCTTTACCCGGAATAAATTCTGTGTATGCGGAACGAAATAATTGTTCCGCATGCACTATTACAGGAACAAATGTTGGAATGAAAAGTTCCCAAGGAACTTTTACTATGGGGGAACCAAATCTTTTTTACACATCTGGGTTCAAATTGAGTTGTTACATCATGGTAACCTAACTCTACATTGAAAACATATATATTTTGATTATGTTTAGGTTTCCATAATATTACTAGAATATTGCTGACACCAGAGACCATATAATAGGCCATAGCGCTGATAGTTAGTGATAAGCTGTTGGGGAGGGCCGTCCCTCTATTATATGGTCTCTGCTGACACCTGAATTCAGAAAGTCATATTCAAAGTGCTCCACTCTTATGGTCAATCAGAAGTACTAAACAACAAAAAACTACTTTTACCAGAGACCATATAGCTATATCAAATTGGCAAACCAATAACCGACATCATAGACAACAATCCATGCAATATGTAAGCAAGCTTACAACAGACTTGAGTTGTCCTGCAAGTGCAAGTTTCATCATAATTATAAAGCTACAAAAGTCCTCATTTTGACTCTTAATACTGACTTTGTTGTTCGGTAAGAGTTCCGCCCGTAACCCCCGCCTGCTTTTGTTCATTTATACACTTACCACAACTAACGAAATTGAAGCTATGTGACAACAAAATATATTTAACCAGGGAACACCATTTCCATTTCTTATACAATTTCAGGCATGGAGTTTGCCCTTCCAATGCGTATCCTATCGATAAAAATCCGGACAATATCGTTGTCGCCGGTGTAATCCGTATATATCCCTTGTGATATTTGTTCCATATAGCGTCACGCAGCAAAATTGTGCTACTGATTAAAGACTAAAACAAAAAAGTGTTTAAAGATTAAATGATACGTAAACTTATGTGTCAAGAACAAAAAATATACAGTTGAAATGAATTTTACTTTATATTTCTTTGCTTAAGTCATTAACATGTTGCATATGCTGAAATAATAAGCTTAGGCTCGTTAACACAGGAAAGTAAGTAGCCTTGGATTCCGGTTTAGGATAAGTTCCAGACACCTACACTCGTAGCCTGAGGCGATTAAATTTGTTCAAGACTCCGCCCCTCGATAGGAAACAACAATCTGCGAGAGCACTCCCCACGACAAAGTATAATAGGTAGTTAAATCAACTTGACACCGGTCTAAAAACTTAACGTCTATGTCCGGTTTATCACATCCGAGATGTCTACTTCCGGATCTTGTTCTCGCGGGAGCAAGTCACGTTTACGAATCTCTCCGGCGCAGCGATGACTTGGGGTGGAACGCTGGGCAGGAGAGTGGCTACGATCTCAAGGAAAGAGACAAGACAGAGACAATAATGTCTGTGCGACGACAACGCTATTTCACAACTTATGTCAGGGTAGGCTTACAATCCGAGAATAAAAAAACAGGAAAAAAGGCAATTTCATACTGTATCAAATACCTTCTAAGCCTTAGGCTTAACACTAACCCCATTACGGCAACGTCTGAACACAGAAAAAGCTGACTGTGCACCATCATTACATGGGACTACTGGGGGCATGGATGGCCCATTAATCGGTGGGCATTAGCGCTGTTGAGTTGCCTCCCTTGGGCATGTCAGGAACACGTTTATGGGTTCTATTACCGGTTGCCACTCATTACGTTTCTAGGTTCGTCAGCACCATACCCGTGATGGTGGGTTTCACAAGAGTGGTATCATGGGACCAGCATCACTTAAGGATTTTTTTCAACATCAAACTGACAGGCCATTCGATACATGGAATATCCTCACAGACATCAGAGACCATATAATATATTATAGGGTCTCTGCAGACATCAAGTGGACACAGATATAAGTTTAATACTTACAAAAGCAGTGTTATGTTAAACTTACATTAAGCTGACTGGGAGTAACTGAGATACTGTTCACAGCAGTGTTAATCCACACTCACTGATATGAACATCACAAAGTTTCATAGTGATTCTTGAATTTGCATGTCACAAGAATGATTATTTTTCCGGAGCACCTTTAGAATACAGCACCACAACTTCTCGTGAGGACGATCTCTGCCGTAGGTCACGTGTCATTAAGACAAGCAACCAGTTTGTGAGAACCCGTCGGACGCGAACCCGCGACCTTCGGATTGTTAGCTCGACAGCTAACCGACTGAGCTACGTCCACACTGTTGCACAATGTGCAAATTTATCGAGTCATTCCTGTGACGTCACGGAAATGAACGGAAAGAGTCGAATAGGTCACGGACAATTACGAATGCTACGGGTAGACTTGGTGTCTCGTGATTTTATTCTCCGGACAATTGCCGAATGGATCCGATGCCATTTGGCACACTCGTCCCATTCCGTAATCTACAAATTAACGTGTGGCGTGGAATGAGCCGATATGCCTCAAACTGAAAAGGGTTGTTGACGCCAGGCGCCAGACGTAGATTTCACGGTGCATGCATGAATGACGCTTTTATATAAATCGGTGATTTTGTGACAGAAAAGTGATGTAGGGAACACTGTAAGGATAATGTGGATCGCACTAAGGAACGAGGGAGACATGAGCATGTGTAGTGACGCACGAGGGTGAGTTAGCCTTGAATCATTACTTTACAAAATTTATGTTGCGTGTGAAAGAGGCTTGAGTGCAAATTCCAGACCAATTTCCATTAGCCCAAAATGTCTACATTAACCCATTTCATAATGTACTTTCGACGTTTTTGGTTTCCCGTTTTTGTGTGAAATAAAAGTATTAAAATGCAAAAAGGAAAAACAACAAATGGTACTCCACGCATTATTACACGGTCATGTACCTGCTATATTGGATTAGGTCCCTAACCCTAACCCTAACCCTAACCCTAAACCCTAAACCCTCAGCCCTAACCCTAACCCTAACCACTTGAAATAATCCTAATAAATAGAATGCATTGACCGAACCACCGGACATGTACCTACTATATATTGCATTAGGTCCCCAACCCCAACCCTAACCCTAAACCCTAAACCTAACCCTAGTCCTAGTCCTAGTCCTAGCCCTAGCCCTAGCCCTAGCCCTAGCCCTAGCCCTAACCCCAATCCCTTGAATTAATCCTAATAAATAGAATGCATTGACCGAACCGGCGCAAACACGACTGACGTGTCTAGTGTAATGCATTATTACCGCTTCGAAAAATAAAATACTAATAAAACACTTTTCTATGTAATGGTGCAAATTACTGAATGACAAATATATATATGTAAATTTAAAAAATTAAAAAATACAAAATACACAAAACATAACACCTCAGCAGCCCGTAATACAAATAAATATGAGCGTATTAGTGAAAAAAGAAAAATATTTCAAACTGGTGCTTGCAAAATATTGAGCATCCGCCGGTATACAACTACTGGAAACTCTCAACATCGTTGGGCTTATGCAATGACATAGCTCGTAGAGATGAAACACCAGTGAGCGGAGCTTATACGCCCTCGCTGAGCCAGACAACCGTGTTGCCATGCAGGCGTCATAAGGCATTGTTTCGAGAACGTGCTTTCGAACAAAATCACATTACAATACGTAAAAGGGTATTATGACGTATTTTTAAAGTTTGTGGTGCTGTATTCTAAAGGTAGGCCATTTTTCCTTATCCTGACTCATGCTCTTTTTGCTTGTCTTCTTCTTCTTGCGAACATAGTGGAACACTTGTATCTCCCTAATTGAAGCTCCCTTCAATGTAAAATCACTAATTAGTACTCACCACGAGTTACCTCCCTTCCACAAGCGCGGGAACGAGGGCGCCACCTCCACCTATGTGCCTCACTCTCTCCTTCTTCGCCCAGTGAGCTGGACGTGAGAGCGTCTGTGTCTCCCGACACACTATATCCTTTGATTATATTTAGTTAGTTACCTTGTATAGACATCTATAGAGGTTTAGCTAGTATCATTCAACAATTATATATTCATATTTAGTCGTGTTTCTACTGTTTATTCACGGGGCCGTGTTGTTTCAGTGGATTACGTTGATAAAAATTCTGTACTGTTGCACATTACGCTTTTATTCTGCTGCTGATCCGCATTTAATATGCCCTAGCTGTACTGGCGCCATGTTTCATTTTATTCACGTTGCAGTTGCGTACTAATTTATCCAATTCTGCCTTTAATAAATAATTACTTTGGCGTTTGAGACGCGCAGCAGATAGGTCGCTGCGATGCAGAGTCTAGCCATGACTGATACACCTGAACCCTCGCCAGTCTACTGCTGTTGGTCGACCCTCCCGCCTGGTGTTCCGCTAGAGTGGTGGAGAGGCGTGGGACGAGTCCGCCGCCTCCAAGAAGCGCCCTGCTTCCCCAGACATCCCATCGCCGCAGCCAAGACTAGAGGGTTTCTACTGCATCTCAACGCGACCTCTGAGGGGAAATCAACGAAGTCTACTTGAACTTTCTCAGCCGAGATTGTTCCCCGTCGCAGATTTGGGCCTGTATGATGATCAGCCAATCATCATACCTGATGTACATCAAAAGAATGACCGATGTCGGCAACAGTGATGTCAGCAGCGAGATCAACATGCAGCCTGATGTACCAACGCTGATATTCTATGATCTTCCTGAGGGTCCCGTCGCTACCAACACTCAACGCAGACTTCGCACCCCCAGGGCAGCGTCGACCTCTGAGGGGAAATCAACGAAGTCTACTAGGACTTTCTCAACCGAGATTGTTCCAGCCGCTGAACTGGGCCTCTACGATGATCAGCCGATCATCATCCCCGACGACGCCACAAGAAGTTTACCGGAGACAGCTACAGTGACATCAGCAGAGATCGCCATGCAGCCTGATGTCTCTACACTGACGTCAGACGACTTCCCTGAGGGCCCCGCCGCTAACATCGCAGAGAGGGCACCGACTACTTCGTCGCAGACCATCCCAGATGAACTGTTGCGGCAAATCATGATCATGATGGAGGGCCACTACAGACTGGAGAAGCAGCCAGCCCAAGGCCTGAGCCTTCGCGAAGGTTCCAACGCAGACGACACCCCAGAGGCACCCCCGTCAGCGTAGCAGCCACGACGAAGCCACCTTCGCGAAGGAAGTCGCAGACCACCTCGACGAAGGACCCAGATGTACAGCCTTCGCGAAGGCGGGATAGATCATCACCTTCCTCGGCTTCATCCTTAGATGCGGACTCAGACCACCAGACCTCACGGAAGCCTTCGCGAAGGTCAAGTCGCCGTTCCCCAGGACCGGACGCAGAGGAAGCTTCGCGAAGGCCTTCGCGAAGGACACCTGACTACACAAGAGCTTCGCTGGGCTATCAACATTCTCCTCACAGGTCTCCGAAGGTCAACCCATAGACGAGATCACCAAGACGATCTCCTCGCCGCTCATCGCTACCGATCTCCTCAGACATCACCACGCCGATCGCCTCACAGGTCACCACACAAGTCTGCACACAAGTCTACAGTCAGGTCTCCCCGAGCGTCACCCGACATAGAGATAGAAATACACAGTCCACCATCAGAAGAGCATCAACCTCTCATCAGCGATGCTGGGATAGAAGATGATGGAGGCATCATTTTCTCAGACGCTGAGATACGATATTGGATGGTAAACAACCTAGATCTCTCTTCACCTTCCAAGAGTGGCAACTCGGCGCAGACATACCTGATAAAGGAAGACGATGCAGACGCCATCACCTTACCTCCGATCGACTCGATTGCTGCGGTGCCACAGAATGTGGACACAGCCTACCATAAAGCCATAAAGTTCAAACGCCAGAGGCGTATGTTCTTGGCCTTAATAGATCTAGAATGATCAATGAGATTCTTATCACCAGATTTCGCGGACACTAACTTCTGAAGATGATAGGATGATCTACTCGGCTCTACTTATGCAGAACCAGCAAGAACCACACCCTGTATGAAGCTAACGCTCATATATTGATCGGACTCTAGACACTTCGCTAAGGAAGTCCCAGGCCACCTCCGCGAAGGAGCTAGAGCCTCACCAGTTACAAGGGACGTCGCGGAGGAGTAGCGCTTCACCGACCCCACATATTGCTGAGTGCGGCGAAAACTAAACTCACTCACTCACTCACTCCTGTTGAACACAGAGGTCGCTTCATGGGCAAGCTCATATATATATATACTGATCGGGCTCTGACTCGATACCTTCGCGAAGGTCGCGAAGGCTAAGTGGCTACAAGTCTACTTCACACAGAAAATCTAGAATGGATACTTCGAGAGCTTCGCGAAGTCTCTGGCGTCCACCGAGGAAATCTCCTCCAAGGTCTCCATATATTAGCCACTCGGCCATATATAGCTACTCGCCAGTCCGTTTCAAGACATCGCATAAGTTGTCTATCAACTGTATGCCATATGCCGTCTATAAGCCTACGCGAAGACAATTGCACAGGCTATTTACAACACAGAACGTCGCTGTATTAATTAGTCAACGACGTTTCATAGATCTTCACAGGAATCAACCTTTCCGTATAGATTGCTAGAATATGCAATCCCGGACTACGATACGATTATCTACATGCATGACCATTACGCACATCTGCAGACAATTCAATATCGAAATTGAACAGCAGCCTTGTTACAGCCAGTATAACTCATAATCGCCAAAGTTTCTGAGAAGAAATATGTACAACAAGTTCAGCTTTAATTCTACAATTATGACGATACATTCATGTATACAGTCTACAAGCTGACAACTTGCAAGTTTATTGTACCTTTATATAAGGAAGTCGGAATTATATTCAAAACTGAAGTTACTTTCACGACAGCCAGGAAAATAACCTACCCAGCATTAATATTACAGAGCGAGGTATTTCTACCGGAGGTTTCGCTGCTTACCTTTAACCCTCAAACACGTGGTCACTCGGGTAACTTCGAAGCTACGGTGAAGACCGACGATTATGCTAATATCAACGACGGCAAGATTTTATACAAGGTTTTTTCCTGCTACACCGGTGACATCACAGCTGGTATTCTACAGAATCAAAATGCCTTGTTCTGATTGGACCGCATGGACAAACACCACGAGAGGTCGATCTTAGTTCACAGTTCAAGACTTACGCTACAAGTGACAACTATATATCAGTGAACGAAAGCAAGCCTCCTTACAGTCCAGTTAATCTGAACCTTCATGATTGGGCTGCTTTCTTCAGGTTAGAGACCTCCCCTGTCAAGTTAGGACGAGGCACGGCAGTCAGGCGATTTTACATAAAGTTCAACGAGGACAGACACACCTGGTTGTGCACCTACATCGTCAAGGACTTCGCGAGCTTAATAACCTAGACGACGGGATACAAGTGGATCTAAATCCACAGCGTCTCAGACTACAGCTGAATTTCATCATCAAGCTACTAACACAACTAGATGGTTAGTAAACCTACTTAAGCTTTCTGATTGGAGAATTAAAACGGAAGTTTCACCCTCCAACTTGGGGATCTGAATATAGTGTTCCAACACCTCACAAGTGAGGTTTATGAACACGCTTGGATGACATACTTGGACTCCATGATACGATGATTCTATCACGATGGCCAGCAAGAGCACTGTAAATTTATCTCCACCGAACCAAACAGGAGGAAAAAAATGCAAAAGATTATTTCCTCTATCATCAACTTACGCAGAATGAAGTCTCACGCACTATATCTCCGCTTTGATCAGAACTGTCATACTACGTGCATACAAGACGGATGGACCTAATCCGACCCTCCATGAGCTTTTAATACTCATGATATTAGAGCTAACTTCTACAATTGATCTACACAAATGTTATTTGAAATAATGGAGGGTTTATTTCTGAGATCCGATATGGTGGTTGCCAACCATTATCTGAGAGATATCACCACCGAGGACGCCTCAGGTATCCACCAATTCGATCCCATGGTCCTCGCACAACAGTTGACAGTTCCTCGGAGAAGATAAGTCAATCTTACAGATTTCTACTTATCTTATAACAGTACTAAATAGCTACATGCTATATATAATTTGCTTAAGTTCCTTTTATCATCACAGTACTATGATTATTACATCATACAATATATAAGTTAACAACTCTACAGAGTTTGTTATTATATATTTACCTTAAGTTAATCATATCTTAAGAGTAGTACTATGGTTACATGATAAATGCATTAGCTAAACAAACTCTACAGAGTTTTTGGCTATTATATACGTAGCTTAAGTTAATTATATCTTAAGCATAGTACTATACTCATATTGTAAAAATATATTAGCTAACAAACTCTACGGAGTTTTGCTATTATATAGGTAGCTTAAGCTTATTCATATCTTAAGCTCAGTACTATGTTTATATCATATAAGTATATTAGCTAACAAACTCTAAAGAGTTTTTTTGCTATTTGGCTTAAGTGTCATCATATCTTAAGCAATATGGTTACATTATAACATGTATTAGCTAACAAACTCTACGGAGTTTTTGCTATTATATATGTAGCTTAAGGTTTCCTTCATAAGCTCAATACTAGGTTTATATCATATAAGTATTTTAGCTAACAAACTCTAAAGGTTTTTTTGGCTATTATACAATTAGCTTAAGTTTCATCATATCTTAAGCAGTATGGTTACATTATAAAATGTATTAGCTAACAAACTCTACGGAGTTTTGCTATTATATATATAGCTTAAGTTTAATCATATCTTAAGCTCAGTACTATGTTTATAACATAAAAGTATATTAGTTAATAAACTCTAAGGAGTTTTTGCTATATACATTTAGCTTAAGTCTAATCTTATCTTAAGCTTAGTACTATGGTTACATTATAAATCTATTAGCTAATAAACTCTACAGAGTTTTTGGCTATTGTATATGTAGCTTAAGTTAATTATATCTTAAGCACAGTACTATACTCATATTGTAAAAATATATTAGCTAACAAACTCTACAGAGTTTTGCTATTATATATGTAGCTAAAGCTTATTCATATCTTAAGCTCAGCATTATATCTATATCATATAAGTATATTAACTAACAAACTCTAAAGAGTTTTGCTATTATATAATTAGCTTAAGTTTAATCATATCTTAAGCTTAGTACTATGTTTATATCTTAAAGTATTTTAGCTAACAAACTCTAAGGAGTTTATACTAGCATATTAACAAGCTTAAGTCTATTAGTCTTAAGCATTGTATTAATGTTATATATACTTTATCATAATAAGTACATTGTAATAACCTTTATATGGCAGCTGATAAGTTAGCAGCAGGAATTCATCAGTTCAGTGCCTTTATGAAGTTCCCATAGGGTTATTACAATCATCACAGTTCAAATCACTAATTATTAAAATCCAAAGTATTATATATTCCCACCTCCTTTGCCGTAGGATTCTACAAGCAAAAAGAGCATGAGTCAGGATAAGGAAAAATATGTAATTTTTAGAGTAAAATTGATATTTTATACTTATCCTGACTCATGAGGTAAGCCCTCCCATCCTCCCCACATAACACTTTGGATTTCCCTGTAAATTCAAATGTTGGGCTCAGTATATGAGGAGAGAGTGAGGCACATGGGTGGAGGTGGCGCTCTGCCCTCGTTCCCGAGCTTGTGGAAGGGAGGTAACTCGTGGTGAGTACTAATTAGTGATTTTACATTGAAGGGAGCTTCAATTAGGGAGATACAAGTGTTCCACTATGTTCGCAAGAAGAAGAGGACAAGCAAAAAGAGCATGAGTCAGGATAAGTATAAAATATCAATTTTACTCTAAAAATTACATTTTTCCATGCTGATTAATTGTAATATGTATGGCATTTGTTCGAATAACATTTTGAATTATGCCTGTAGTAGTTGTGAGCTGTGCTGTTTCGTAGACTCTGTCGGTTCACTGTGAAATAATAACACAATTATGTTGGAAAGACTAAAGAATACTGGATACCTTCCGCCATCTTTGAAAAGACTGGACACTTCTAAAGGATTATTTTGAGGGTTATGGCAACCAATCACTATAATAGGAAGTGCACATGACACTAAACAATATGGCTGGTAGGTGTCTGGTATTCTGTAGGTGTACCGTAATGTTCAGTCCTAGCTGTTGTCTTGACCTTCACAAGTGCCTCATATTCAATTCAAGTCACAGTGTTTGCCATGATGCCGAAAACCTGCGTATTTGACGCACAAATTATCTCAAATATGCAGTGAATATAGAAGCTTGCGTCATTGTTGACAAAATGCTACTGGGCCCTTAGTCCAGATAATCTAAACTTCTAAAACTAAATGTTTGTCAGTTAACTGCTCAGTGCTGATTAAATACCTGAACTGCCTTACCTTGTTTTTTGTCGTTATTAAACAATCACAGTTGATGTCTTGATGAAAGTTCCAAACTGAAGTTGACTCCCCAAAACATGTCCATGACTTCCTCTCATGACACCAGGAAGTCATGATGACTCCTAAATTTTTATGCCTAGGGCAAACACTGAGTCAGCTGCAGATGTCATGAAAAATCAAACCATGACCCTTCCTGATGACATTTAACAAGCATGTTCTTGGAAACAGGTGCAGAAATGGAAAGCTCTACAGCTGGAGGTACACCCAATGTCCTCTGAGAATTCCGACTTGTCCATGCAGTTTGAAGACCGACATTTCCAAGTAAGACCATTCAATTTCATTATTTTCAGTGGCATAAGAATTTCATTTCAAAATTAGTTAAACATGGGTGGGGGCAGGCTTGCATAATTTGAAAGACAATATTTCATTCCCTGATATAACAGGGGAAAATGTACTGACGATTACTAAAAGAACTGATCACAGACTTCCTGGATACTTTGTAAACAGCATTGTGAAAAAATTAATTTAATTATTCAGCTTTTCTTTCAGTGTTTTGAAGCAATGATTTCAGTTTTGTGCAGTATGGTAGAGGAGTCTGTATGTCATAATTTCATGTTTCAGGAAGTTTTGCAGTTATTGCGGGGACCAATATTTGAAAGGGTGAAGTTGAAAAAACATGAAATAACCAAAGACATGGTCAAGTCTGACATCATGACAGGTGAGCTATGGTGTCTGTTGTCATGCCACATCCATCTTTCTTACATTTTGTTTTAGGTCAGGAGAACAGTCCAAATAATTATGGATGATTAGTGGTATAGTGTCTTAGGAAATGGTAGAAAAGAGACGGTTCAGGTTCTAGGTGTTTGATGGCAATGGGAATGTTTATTCATTGTAACAGATGAGTTAATTGTGAATTGGTAAAGATTAAGTAATGACCACTGTATCCTTTCAATGTTAATGACTTTTCCTCAAAGCTTACTGCAAAATATTGACCCTATGGTAAGCGTGTGGTCATAAGATTCATCAGAAAATAATTCTTGTCACCATCAAATGTTTATTAGTTCCATAAGGTAAAACACCACAACATGCTGTCCTCCCTTTTATTGCTGTTTATATAAGTTATCAATTGACTAAAGCTTAAATGAATGTCATGGTAGGTACACCTGCTTTGTTGAATCTCAAAGTAGAAATCCCTGTATATGACAAACTAGAGGTAAAGGGAGGGAGTTACCTGACTTTGTAAACTGTCCTCTTTCACTTGCATATAAAAATGCTGGTGATTTGTACATATTCCTGCTGCTAGGCCCTATAGTTCGTCTTGGATATGATTTTCGAGCTAAGCCAGAGTATGAGACCTGTCTCCTGCCGATATCTCAGCCACTTTACACCAGCGACAGTGAAGAGGATCAGCAGGGTCAGTATGTCATTGTCATACCCGTCATACAGTCATTTACCTGTCCTATGCTACTGTCATACATCTGTCATACACCTGTCATACTCTACTTTTAGGAAGTCATTCACCTGTCATACAATCTTCATACACCTGTTTTACCATCATACACTATAATATACCGGTCATGCACCCATTTTACAGTCATAAACCCGTCATACACCTTGATTATGTTTGTCACACACTTATAAGTCATCCTTTAAACACCCTTCACACACTGCTGTCATACACCAATCATAGTCATACACTGTAGTCATGCTGTCATACAACTGACATATGCTGCTCTCATACTGTCATTGTTTTCGCAATACTAATTTGCCAAAATTAATCAGTTGTTTGTAAAACAGAAATTCATTCATCAAGAGCTGGGTTTACTGCTGTCACAAGCATTTGAATGAGATATTCAGAGAGATCAGAGAACTGTGTGCTGCCACTCACAAGCCTGATGTTTTCTAATCAAGTATTATCATGGGATGATTCAGTGTTTTCAGTCAATGTCAGGATTGTGATTTGATCAAACTTTTTTTTTATCAGTTTCCGGTTGTTCAGTCAGTATGGAAATGTATTGTTCCCTATTGTGATAGAGACCAATTAATAACATTCTAATTCTTAAATGAAGTAAAACAAATAGCCACTGTCATACACTGGTCATACAGACACATCCCTGTGATACACCGCCATGTGTCTTGTGACTGCAGCGTGGACTTGTGGATACCGAAGCCTGAGTCTGCACCATGAGAAGCTGGTAGTGTACAGCTGTCTACTGAAGGAGAAGTCCAGTCACAGCAGCATGGCCCAGGTCAGTTACAGCATGGCCAAAGTCAGTTACAGCATGGCCAAAGTCAGTTACAGCATGGCCAAAGTCAGTTACAGCATGGCCAAAGTCAGTTACAGCATGGCTCAGGTCAGTTACAGCATGGCTCAGGTCAGTAACAGCATGGCCAAAGTCAGTTACAGCATGGCCCAGGTCGGTTACAGCATGGCCAAGGTCGGTTACAGCATGGCCCAGGTCAGTTACAGCATGGCCAAAGTCGGTTACAGCATGGCCCAGGTCAGTTACAGCATGGCCAAGGTCGGTTACAGCATGGCCAAGGTCGGTTACAGCATGGCCATGGTCAGTTACAGCATGGCCAAAGTCAGTTACAGCATGGCCCAGGTCGGTTACAGCATGGCCAAGGTCGGTTACAGCATGGCCCAGGTCAGTTACAGCATGGCCAAAGTCAGTTACAGCATGGCCCAGGTCAGTTACAGCATGGCCAAGGTCGGTTACAGCATGGCCAAGGTCGGTTACAGCATGGCCAAGGTCGGTTACAGCATGGCCAAGGTCGGTTACAGCATGGCCCAGGTCAGTTACAGCATGGCCAAAGTCGGTTACAGCATGGCTCAGGTCAGTTACAGCATGGCTCAGGTCAGTTACAGCATGGCTCAGGTCGGTTACAGCATGGCCAAGGTCGGTTACAGCATGGCCAAGGTCGGTTACAGCATGGCCCAGGTCAGTTACAGCATGGCCAAAGTCGGTTACAGCATGGCTCAGGTCAGTTACAGCATGGCTCAGGTCAGTTACAGCATGGCTCAGGTCGGTTACAGCATGGACAAGGTCGGTTACAGCATGGCCAAGGTCGGTTACAGCATGGCTCAGGTCAGTTACAGCATGGCCAAAGTCGGTTACAGCATGGCTCAGGTCAGTTACAGCATGGCCCAGGTCGGTTACAGCATGGCCAAAGTCAGTTACAGCATGGCTCAGGTCAGAAACAGCATGGCCAAGGTCGGTTACAGCATGGCTCAGTTCAGTTACAGCATGGCCATGGTCAGTTACAGCATGGCCAAAGTCGGTTACAGCATGGCTCAGGTCAGTTACAGCATGGCCAAAGTCAGTTACAGCATGGCCAAAGTCGGTTACAGCATGGCTCAGGTCAGTTACAGCATGGCTCAGGTCGGTTACAGCATGGCCAAGGTTGGTTACAGCATGGCCAAAGTCGGTTACAGCATGGCTCAGGTCAGTTACAGCATGGCCATGGTCAGTTACAGCATGGCTCAGTTCAGTTACAGCATGGCTCAGGTCAGTTACAGCATGGCTCAGGTCAGTTACAGCATGGCTCAGGTCAGTTACAGCATGGCCAAAGTCAGTTACAGCATGGCCAAAGTCGGTTACAGCATGGCTCAGGTCAGTTACAGCATGGCCAAAGTCGGTTACAGCATGGCTCAGGTCAGTTACAGAATGGTGCAGGTCAGTTACAGAAAGGCTCAGGTCAATTACAGCATGGCTCAGGTCAGTTACAGCATGGCTCAGGTCAGTTACAGCATGGCTCAGGTCAGTTACAGCATGCCCAAGCTTGGTTACAGCATGGCTCACGTCAGTTACAGAATGGTGCAGGTCAGTTACAGAATGGCTCAGGTCAATTACAGCATGGCTCAGGTCAATTACAGCATGGCTCAGGTCAGTTACAGCATGGCTCAGGTCAGTTACAGCATGGCTCAGGTCAGTTACAGCATGCCCAAGCTTGGTTACAGCATGGCTCAGGTCAGTTACAGCATGGCTCAGGTCAATTACAGCATGGCTCAGTTTAGTTACAGCATGGCTCAGGTCAGTTACAGCATGGCTCAGGTCAGTTACAGCATGGCTCAGGTCAATTACAGCATGTCTTTGATTTGATCTTTTCCTTAACATTGGTTCATCTATCCATACTTTTGTGCGATCATGCAATGTAAGTCAAGTCACTGACAAGTTACATCTCGGCTTTCACCGCCCTCCGTCTTGGCGCCCGGACCACGATGCTTAATGTGAAAATATATGCTTGAAGCTTTTATGTCATAGGCGTAACCCTAGCACGATATGTCCAATATGTTCCATAATTTTTCGTTTTATGAGGGACGGTATCCATTTCCATAATATGATTGGCTGCTTAGGTCACGTGTCTGATTTTGACCAATCACGAGCCTTATAAGCAGAGTGTAGTGAAAAGCGTCGTTAGAAACCAATCTTTATCCAATAAAATGCGCTTCTTACAAATGTGAAAATACTCGGCAAGAGTACATTGATATTGTTGATGTTCAGAGCTTTTCGAGCGATACCCGCCATCAAAGCGATTAGCCTCTATGTAAGTGACACGTGCCACTCACTAATTAACAAGAAACTGATTGACACTTCCGTTTCTGAATAATCTCGGGAGTCAATACCTGAACAAACTATATGTATTTACATATGTTCAGTTGTGACGTAAGACCCCCTGATCTAGTGAGATATACTTTTGTTCAGATCATGTCAGCCATGTCCACGGAGTGCAGCAGCAGTCAACAGCCACAGAAAGTCAGCATCAGCAGTTATTTCCACAGAGTTGTCCCCCCTGGTGGCTCTCCCGCCAAGTCATCACAACCCAGCACTTCGACACCAGGTGGTGCTAGATCACATGTAACAACCACCACAGGCCAAGATGAAGAGGCCACAGTCCCACCCTCCGACACACGCAAGAGAAAACTAAAAAGCATGTATGCTACTGCATGTTAGATACAATCAGTCAAGGTTATGGGTTATCTTTGTAAAATTGGGTTGAAAGGCTTTGACTGATACATGTTAATTGTGTGACTAGGTTCCCAGTACCACATGCTGGTCATGAAAGTTGTTTATACCACTCAGCAAAATGTGAACATGAAAATAATTGATCCATGACCAGACAAACCAGTGACTGATAGGTTACTTGTCATTTCTTCCTACGAACCTCTGTTCTAACACGGTCATATTTCCCGGTTCTCGTAAAATCCCCTAGCAGCAAAAAATCGCAACACGAATTATCTCCCTTCTTTCTGTCCAATCAGAACAAGTGTTACATCAACTTGACTAATACAAGCAAATGTTGGGTCACAAATATCCCTTGCCAGGAACTTGTGTTGATGTGCCACACAAGACATTTAATGGCTAGCTTAGCCATTGTCAACAAGGGCGATGGAGACGCCATTGATCCGCCATTTTACATGACTGATTTCTGTCTATAAGAAACGCAGGGAAAGAGGTTCTAGTTTTACCGAAGCATACGGAAATAACCGAGGCCTTGCGAATGATCACTTTTGAAACAACGTCGCTGATTGCACAACTAAATCTGATTGCAACCAATCACGAATCCTGAACAGTTGCACCATGAAAAGGCCGTATTAGAACAGAGGTTTGTAGGAAGATATGACAAGTAACCTCTGTGGGAAGAGAATGATTCTCACCCTGACATCCAGATTCTGAGCTGACAGGAATGAGGAATGGAGGCAGGATTCCAGATCTGCTCATATTTGTAGACATTAACTTATGGTTATTGAATAATGAAACTTTTGGACATCTGGCATTATTGAAAAACAAATATGGCAGAGGAATAACTGTACTAACATTTTAAAAAACACAAACATATTTGAAAATGAGTGTATTGTTACTGTCCTTTCAAGACAGAGTTGTCTGCCCTTGATCTTCCTCTTATTTTTAATAGACCTTGTTTGACACATTTTTACATTTTAGATTTTAATCTACACTTAGTTTTATTGTTAATAATTGTGATGGAAGCGCTTTCATGACCAGTGTCAACTTATCATGTAACCAGTGTCAAATTCTCTTGTATATGAACATAACTGATACTTTCACAACTTTTTCTACAGGTTTTCCTCTTTCTGTAAATCATACAGTTTCAATTCAGCAATAATGGCCGTTTTTATACGTTATGCTTTGGTTGATATCTGTGTGATATATATATATATATGTTGTGTTTTACTCTGTCCAGAATCAAACGAAGTGGACCAAAATTGTCGAAGAAAGCTAAGAAAGTGAAGAGTGTGAAAGAAGTCATGGCTCCTAGAAACCCTGTCCAGTGTGCTGGAGGTCATGTAGAGGACATAGCAAGTGATACTGAATTCACCAGAATGTCATTCTTTGGGGATTTACCTGAACAAGATTGTGCACCTGTTGATAATGATATTATTACTAAACAAGATCCAACAGGTGAAATGAATGAAAAAGTTGCAGAAAATCCTACAGAACCAAAACACTGCTCAGAACCAAAGCTGTGCTCAAGATCAGAAAGTTGCAAAATGCTGGATTTTTCTCCAGAAAAATCCCATAAAATATGCAAAATGAAGTCAATGAATGATAAGTGCGACAATGTTCAGATCAATTCAGGTAACTATGGTGACAGGTCCTATGGCTCAGAGGACATATTTATGGAGAACTGTGATGAAGTTACAGAGGATGAAGTCAACATTATTGAACTGAGGAAAACTGAGTCTGAACATCTTCCAGCGAAGGAGAGGATGGACTCGGCAATCTGTAGGCCTGTTTGTATTCAAACACCTCCACGGTATGACATAACAACTGACACAGATGGTAGTGACTGTTGTATAATGCCAGAGACTTCTTTTCACAGTGAACAGGTGTCTGTTACAGATCAGATTCCTCATTCAAGATCTAAACCTGCTTTGAAAGATACAGAGTTTAAACAATTGAGTGTAGATTTAATTCAAAGAAGGCTTACTGTAGGTTCAAATGAGACTTTACCATCAGCAAGTTTTATACATGAATTTGATCCAAATACTCCCAATGTGAAGACGGGGAGAGTGCTGGATGAAGGGCATGGTGATGCAACTGATCCTAAGAGGAACAGACACGTAGAAACGGAGAGCACTGGGTCCGATAAAACAAGTTGTGAAGACCTGCCACAGATTTCTTTGAAGAAAAGAGATCGAAGCTGGAGGAGGTCCTTGGCGCTGCTGATGAAAGAGAAGGATGCTCCCCATTTGGTTCAAGAGGTGATCGACTGTGATACAATCGACTGTGATCTGATCGAAGAGCTGGAAGAACTTCCCAAGCATCCTATGATCCTGACAGAGGACCTGAGACATGAACTGAGTCAAGTCAGGTAGGAACTGTGTGTCCAACCGTCTGTTCTATATGTTCCACATACCAATAGTGAGTGAGTGAGTTTATTTTTATGCCGCACTCAGCAATATTACAGCTATATGACGGCAGTCTGTAAATAATCAAGTCTGGACCAGACTATCCAGTGATCAACATTATGTGCATCATTCTACGCAATTGGGATACGATGACATGTGTCAACCAAGTCAGCGTGCCTGACCCCCCGATCCCGTTAGTCACCTCTTACAACAAGCATGGGTTACTGAAGACCAATTCTAACCCGGATCTTCACGGGTCCCACATACCAATACCAATTCTTAGCAATCTGTCCTGTTTCTGAGTACAGACACCTGTGTTCTTCTCAATCTATATTTTAACATGTTCCAACTGTTTGTTCCAGCTCAGAGGCGGAGCTCACAGAATCCCACATCCAGATGATGGTGTTGGGCAGCGAGGGGTACCTCCGATCCATCTTCACTGGAAAGGTGATACTAGTTTTCTGTGAGTTGCCCAGGGCAATATACATCCCCATAAAAGGGTATTATCAGTCAATCTGCATTGTATTGGCTTTCTCTCTAATTCATGCTGAAAATGAAATTCAATAAGTATCACTCAAAAATATTTCCAGATGTGGTCACTCTTTGGCACACCTATGTTTGTAAGTGCCCTGTGGCTCATTTAATGAAAATGCATTCCTGTCTCTGCTTATCTTTGACTGGAATTTTTACATTGACATTGTTTGTGCATTGACATCTTGGCTTTTGCTTTCAGCATCAGTGTCAAAGACATGAAGACTACAAGAAAGGTGGAAAGGCTAGATGTAAGTACATCGGACATGTAGCCACCTTCAGGTAGACGATTTGTTGGTCATAGTTTTATCCCAGTACATCAGACATGTAGCCAGATGTAACTATACCCTTCAGGTAGACGAGGGGCGTTGGGGTAGCCTAATGGTTAAAGCGTTGGCTCGTCACGCCGAAGACCCGGGTTCGAATCCCCACATGGGTACAATGTGTGAAGCCCATTTCTGGTGTCCCCAGCCGTGATGTTGCTGGAATATTGCTCAGTCAGTCAGTCAGGTAGACGATTTGTTGGTCAGAGTTGTATCCCTTACCTGCACCAGGATCTGTTGTTGGTTTGTTTGAATCCCAGATTTGTTTCTGTAAACCTTCATCTATCAGCTGAAAACTTGTGCTCATAGGTTCATTAAAGTGAAAACATTGAACCTTGATCAGGCTTTTCTCCCACAATAAACTGGTACACTGTTATATACATATATAGTGGGGGTTGGGGTGGATGTTCAAAGCAGCACTTTCAGCCACCCAGTGAATGTGCTTTCTGCATGAATGATACTCTTTCCTGACAGGATGGGACATCAACCAAACTCTTGCATGTCTTAGAACAGCTCACATGTCGAGGCAGTGTTGCAGTTATCATTTATTTTGACATAATATTTTGTCACAGTGAACCTCAACTATCAGGTGAACCTCGCGATGTTCACTGAGCCTCAGCAGGATGCTGTCATGGAAACCCTGATGGGGATATTCTGTAAACGCCATCACAAGGTATGTAGGCTGCAATGAGTGGTACAGCCATATGAAAACAATCCAGTCAAAAATACCAGGCTCTGATCATAATCAGCGGGTCCCTTGGTCCCATATAGACACTGGCACACTCACAGTGAAATAAGATCGGAGGACACTCCATGGGTCACATCCGATAATCTTCCTTATGAGCCAATGAGAAAGGGGTATAGTATTACAGTGAATGATCCGATTTAAGTTACCTGGGGCCTGTTCCACAAAGTGATCATATCTTCCCAGTAGTCTGGGTTAAAGTATGGGAGCTACAGTCTTGTGGAACTGGGACCTGCTTCAAATGTTTTATTAGCTTATGATCTTTTCTGTACACTCATCCAAATACTTTACCCAGATCTAAATGTTATATTTACACATTATGATGCAGAAACAATATGAAGTTTGTAGATGAAAATTTGCGAGCTTATTTGAATTTTATACAATACAATTGTAAATAATAATCATGGTGTATTTGCATTACATTAGAAAGTCTCAGGAAGAGCTCCTCACAATGTTTGGCTATTATTATGTATGATAATTGTGATGGTGTGAGAGCTTCACACACTGCATGTCTCCTGTTCCCAGTACATGGACTACATCCTGAAGGTGCTGCTGCCGGAGATGATGATTCGAATCCTGATGGAGGTGAAGCACATGACCTACGATGACACAGAGGCACTCATGAGTGGTGCTATCCGGTAGTCATTTAACATACAGCCACTCTCTTGTGAGGTCGACCTCTCAGTGAGACAGACAGTGGAGACTCAAGAGTGGCACTCAGTAGTGGTCATCTGATAAGGTTAAGCACTCCGTGGAATACTGTAAAGTTTCTCTTACTGTTAGAGACTCGCTGTGAGACTGAGTTACCCTGATCAATTCAGGCTCAATAAACTTACCAGAACACATAGGGGTTTCCAGTTTTCCTTGGGGTACATATGTGCATTCTCTGCTGTTGAAAATGTCCTGCGACACTTGTAATAATGTCCTAACAAAAGGTTATGCAATTAAGAACATTGTGGGGTTTTTTCTGTTATAGCTCCCTCTATCACCCAGCATTACCTCATATCCGGGTAGCCAGGTTTCTTGATCAGCCTCCTGTTTTAACTTCTGCTTCCTTTGCGCCTGCAGAATGGTGCAGTACGGCTGCAGAACGGTGCAGTACACCCGAATCCTAAGATTCAGTGGGTGGCTTATCTTCTGTCAGGTCTAACGTCCAGAATTCCTGTAGCAGTTACAGACAATTCTGGCATCAAGGCGGGATTCGAAGACCTATCAGTACGAGGATAGGCAGGCCTGCTTAAATGAAACAGTTGTTTCAACTAACTTTATGCAAAAAAATGTTCCAATGGCAGCAAAGTGAAAGTGATCTAAGCCCCACATGGAAACAAGTGTAAATTACAACTATAAGTGACAGTGTTAAGAAATGAGTAACTATTTTGTGTTTAGAACATTGTGTGGAATAAGGACAATGTACACATAGTATCCGAGGTCTCAGACTTTCCATGCAGATAACAAGTGCTTGTGAACACGTGTGTCACAGCAGAAGGAAGGATGTTTGGGGCAGGGAACCCCTCGGTACCCAAGCAGAGGAGGTGGTAGGGGAGGTAACGCCAAATGGGGGAACAGATTAAAAAAGATTCTTGTATTTGTATAATAATTTTATTAAAACATTGTTACAACTGTCACAAGAAATTTTCAGCAGCAGAAAATACATATATCTAACCCAAGGAAAATCTCTTCTGAAAAAGAATAGTTGTCATGAAATGTCGCCTTACTTGGCATGAACCTTCCTATAGAGCATGCTGATCATGAAATTACCAATGTTTCTATGTTCAAATTTGGGCATTTTGTATTGAAGATATTTAAATTTTGTTCAGCTTATTGGAGATATTTGTGCACAAACTTTTCTGTATGATACAGTGTGTGGTATGTATTTATTATGTAAATGAAATAAACAACACTGTATCTTCTAATTAGTCTTTGTCTAAATTTGGTGCTTAATGTATGTTGAACCCGTGAAGTTCCGGGTAAGAATTTATGTTCAGTAACCCATGCTTGTCGTAAGAGGCGATTAACGGGATTGGGTGGTCAGGCTCGCTGACTTGGTTCACCCATGTCATCGCATTCCAGATGTGTAGATCGACAATCATGCTGTTGATCACTAGATTGTCTGGTCCAGATTCGATTATTTACAGACCGCTGCCATATAGCTGGAATATTGCTGAATGTGGCGTAAAACTAAACTCACTCACTAATGTATGTTGCAGCCAGCTTTATAAACATGAGTTTGAACAATATTTCAGTTGCTTCCCCAAAGTTTAAAGAGATGCATATATCAGGCATTAACCACATGACATGCATGAAACCAGTGTGATTTATAAACAATCACAGCTAGCCTGGGTTTTGAACACATGAGCAACACACAATAGAGGTACAGTCAATGATCCTTGGTTCTTCCAAGGGTTTAACTTATACGGTGGGACTTTGCTGCACATGCTATCGACCATTGTAAACTGCATGGGAGTGTGTGCTGCAGTCCAACTGGAGTAAGGAAAACGTAAATGGGACTGGATCTTTTATTTCCTCTCAATATTAAATTTGAAAACAGCATACCATTCTGCAGTAAAATTTATACCTAACTAATAAAATAAGTTTGGGCAATGTTATGAAAAGATTTTTTTCCACATTCTTCTCAACTAGGTGTGTTCAGTTATGACGAAAGCATATCATTCTGGTATCACAAAGAAGTCACAACAGTTGCCCAGAAAGTTAATGTATATAGAGATGAAGTGAAATGGGGTTTAACGTCGCACTTAATTTATTTCACTCATATGACGACGTGCATGCATGTGCATGTGTGGCTGCTTGTGCTAACCCAGACCTAAGCTGGTTTTATAGTGCTAGCCCACTGAGATACCATGCCACAGTTAAACATGAATACCCCACTCAGACATATTCTGCTGACTCCGAGCCAACCAGTCCTTGTTGTATTCATTGATGTTGAGCACCAGACAGGTACCAACGAGTACCATATTTTAATGTCTTAATGTCTTTAATGTCTTTAATGTCTCATATTTTAATGTTTCATAGCTGATGAAACTGAGGTTTCATTAACATCTCTGAGAGTCTAGTCTGATATGAGCCCTTTCTGCATGAAGTTCTGAGGTCAACTGGAAGGTCAGGTGAACCACGTGCAAACACTGACCACTGAAACTTAATGAAGGAAGCTGGTTGGTGGGGTAGCCTATAGTTTGGCATGAAATGCATGTGGACCCGTTTTTTTGTAAATATCTCTTCATCCAATGACCCAGTCGATCTCAAACTGTGCAAGTGGATGTTTTGTCAGACAACCTAATTACATTGTAAATCACCGATTTTATGCATTTGTATTAAAGAATTTGTCTATGTAACTGTCAACAAAATAAACAGCAGAACGCAGACTGCTTGCAGAGGGAGGGAGCCAATGACCTGTAACAGCGTCAGTGCTGGCTCATAAAGGTCAACATTCGTCAATGTAGGTCAGCTATGCACGTGACAGGTATGAAGAGGTGTCACAGGTCGTGAATAGGGTAAGGTGGGTGCCAACTGTTAACCATCATACGGAGTTTGTTTCTCTGAGTTGTTCAACATTAACCACAAAACCCATTAGTGAGAATTTTTCTGTAGGTTAAAATCTTTAAATTTTGCAAATAGCCGGGCAAATGACATCTCTGATGACCCTGATGTTAAAAGAATCAAACTTTGGATGCCTACCTTTTTGTACAAAGTTCTGTTTATTGGTTGTTGGTTTATTTTTCACAATTTTTAGCATGATGTTCTTTCCATGTCAAGAGCAAAAGTTGTAGTTTCATGTAATCCGACACCTTATAAATCGGTTTGCTACATTTTCTCTCTTTTAAAAAAAAAATCAACACATTTCTAATTAAACGTTTAGCATCATCTGAATAAGCTTTCATGATGACGGCTAGAAGTAGTCAATGTGAATGATCCAAACGGTCTATCACTGTGCAGTGCACAGGTAACTATCATGAACTGCACGTGCATTGACCTTTAAGACCCAACACTGCCGCTGTTACAGGTCATTGGCTCCCTCCCTCTGCAAGCAGTCTGCGTTCTGCTGTTTATTTTGTTGACAGTTACATAGACAGATTCTTTAATACAAATGCATAAAATCGGTGATTTACAATGAGATTAGGTTGTCTGACAAAACATCCACTTGCACAGTTTGAGATCGATTGGGTCATTGGATGAAGAGATATTTACAAAAAACCAGGGCCACATGCATTTCATGCCAAACTATAGTGGTTGAAGTGTTCGCTCGTCACGCTGAAGACCTGGGTTTGATTCCCCACATGGGTACAATGTGTGAAGCCCATTTCTGGTGTCCCCCACCGTGATGTTGCTGGAATATTGCTAAAAGTGGTGTAAAACCAAGCTCACTCCTCTCAATAATATTGATAATTTAGAAACCTTCACGTTGATAGGCTGACGACACACTTCACTTTGTTATCTATTAAGGTGTCCTCAGACAATTTGCGTTCAGTGTTAAATATACACAGACAGCATACACAGGCTGCCCCAAAAAATGGAAAAAACACTTCAATATTAATATGAATGAATTTATTTGGAATGGCATATCTGCTACATCATAACTGGTGGGAAATAACTATGACCTTAGTTAGAAATTGAAACAAGGAACTTGACATGAAATATAAGCAAAGCAACTGAAGATTATTAAATATCAAGTTAAGGCAATATAAGAAAATGATATCCAAAATAATGCCATAATTACCTTTTGGAAGGTGAATATGAAAATCACAACACAAAATTGTATAATTAGTTAATATTACTGCATACAAGTATGCTTATTTTTCTCACATTTGAACCCAACAAAAAATATTATGCAATCATAAGTCATCAGTTTTCTGTATTTGAGACAAATTAATTTCTACATTTCAGGAATAAGGTATTAACATACTCAGGCTCAGTTTTTTTTTAAAGGTTTTGGGCCCGACCAATTATGCTAAGAAAGATGACATTTCTTGTTTTACGGATCTGCCAGTCATATATTTTTCAAGAATAAGAAAAAAAAAATGAATTGTCCCCGTTCAAAAAATAAAATCCGAATGTTTTTATTGGCCAAAAATGTTAACTTACAAGAAAAATGTTTTAGATTGTTTTTTTTACCCACATACACTTCATAAATTGCCAAAAGTAAAATACTTTTAGTATATAAAAGGAATATTACTTTGACTTGTGACTGCCTTTAGGTTTTCTGAGGACAAAAATCCATAAAACAAGAAATGGCATAATTTCATTACAAATTGCAACATGATGGTGACAGCATTCAGCTAAACTTCAGATTGTCAAAGTCAGACAAAAGAATGATGTGTAACCTGAAAAAAATGAATTCATCCTGAATTTTGATGTGTACAAGAAGAATGTAATTCTGTTAAATGTAATAGATACTCAGATCGTGTTCATGATGGACCCAACCTTAAACATTCCATTTAGTTCCGTAATTTGCATAGCATATTTAGAGTTGACTCCCTTGAGTAGATTTTTTCTTTGTTGTGATCACAGGAATCCCCCGCAAATGTAATGCGTGTCTCATTACGGGGAAAAAAACTGTAATGTACTTATCACAACAATCTTTATCAATGCAAAACTCAAACACTGTCATGTACGAGTATTTTCCCCATACATGGAAAAACGAACTGAATCAGTCACAAATTTAGCCTATGGTGGATTCTACTATGAACTCATAAAATGTTGCACCCAATGTCTTCCATTATGTTGACAGCCTACATTGGGTGATTACACTGACACCAGTCATTTCAGGGTGACCTTGACCTTATTTTCAAAGTCACATGACACTTTACAAAATCGTGTTAACACGATATCCCATGAACTTTTACACCTGATGTCAAGCTTGTTCTTGATGCTTGGCATCAATGTCTGTTTTGGAAATGCATCAATGATTGATAGATTTCCAGAGACTTTCATTATCCATATCACCTCCATGAAACAGGAAATCTGCCAGAATTAACTGGCACACTTCAAGCAAGGTTTATGCTCACAAAAAATCTTGATATTTCTGATATGTTGGTGAATGGGGCTATGGGTACCACCCTACGTGGGTCAAACGATATTCTCCATCTTCATCTGGAGTACACATATCTACCTATATGGATGAACTCTGTGTTGGGATGACCTTGATATGTTGAACATTCTGGGGCACATAATTGACATTTTCATAACGGTTATTCATGGACATGTTTTTCATGGATGTGATTTCATGGATTCCTATATAAACTGTAAGTAATGTGTTGCTTAGAGACTCAGAGAGAGCCATCACTATATGATTGACACACACTGCTCAGCGGCTAGCTGATATTTTCACTTACAGACAGAACTGTTAATCCATGAAGTACTGTTTTTTATTCACATCCATATTATGTGCCCCATGAACTCTTCTGATGCAATTTTATATGCTGATTGAACTGTTTTGATTGAAATGTTGATTTTCATGCCATGATCATGTGTTATTTCATGTCATCCTAAAAAAATAGAAAAGAAAAAATTCATTCATTCATTCATATCTCACTTTACAATTGTATATATAACCAAAAATATTATTTTCACCATATTTCGATTTCTACAGCTTTGAATAGATTTCTATTTCTACATTGCCTACATATCTATTTATATTTTAACAAATGTATTTGTGTAACTGTAATATTCATTAACTTTCACAGATTTTTTTCTAATCAAGTAAATAAACTATCGATAATAGTAAAAGTTAACAATTTGATATCACATTTCCAGCAATCAATAATTTCAGTAAATAATTATCAATTACAGTAATTCAATATTAATTTAACAGCGTAAAGGTTAATTTATTGCACCTTATTCTTTCTCTGATGTTAATTTCTTGTTTACATTTGACTCTTATCGACACTTCACATTGTTG